CAATTTCCATTGTAATTTTGTTATTGTTTACGATGCAAAAATGTATTATGTCAACGAAAAGACAAATTTGTAATATTGCTAGATAAGTGAAAGCGTCAACGCGTATATTCTAAACAACGCTTGTCATATGTTTCTTAAATTAATTTGCTTTTGCTCTTTATACAATGTAATGTTATTATAATATTTTTTGTAAACGATCTACATGTATACATGTATTTTATTATGGTGAAGTGCTAAATTCATATATTTGCAGCTGTAAAAATGTGCCTTTCTGTAATACATGAAGTATTTTGTAATCTATCATCGGCAATTTATATCACAATATTATCTTATTATAATGTTTCATGGTATGTTAATTTTTTAAATAGTCTCAATTTACCGACACAGCTGGAAGTATTTTCCAAATAATCCCATTCGTAGTTGGTGCTTGGACCACACGTGTATGACTTACCATCATCTAAACCGGGTGGAAGTATTTAACCATCCTCGCAATATACTGTACCTGTTTCATCACCGAATGTTCCGTTTGTAGAACAGTTGAACAAGGACCCCGATGCGCTCATGAGTTGTTCACAAACTGTTGTATAGAAACAGCAATTGAAGCGTAAAAAGGGAAAAGATCATTTGTATTAAAAATTCCATTGTATCTGTATCGTATTTTTATGACTTTGTTCTAAATACCTCTAAAAGTAATATAATCATACATGTAGTAATAAATATATTTTAAAAAGGTGATGTAGGGCGTCTGTGGTCGTGTGGATAAGGTTTCTAAAGTCAAACCAAACTGAAACCTCCACCAGTAAAGAAAGACTTTTACAGTGTTTCCATCAACTCAATAAAAAGGTGAAAATGTGAGATCGTACATACAGTGTCGTTTCTTATTTTCTAATATTTTTCAACGAGTTCAAAACAGTGTTATAGGGTATTTTTGTGGCAATCTTTAATAATACGAAATAGATACATAGCTCTATATGAATAAAAATGTAAGATTATTTTTAATAAATTTATGCATAAAGTCAGCGATGTCATGCAATATAACTATAGCTTGTAGGCTGTTGTATTAACCATTTGTATACGAATAACGTATCGCAGGTCATCAAATGGGCTAGCACTCACCCTTAAACTTCAAAAAAGAAAAAGAAAAAAAGACATAAATTTTTCTGTTCACAAAAACAAAATCTTTATATTTAGACATGTAAAGATTCAGATAGAAATCTCACCAGGACAAGCATCTGTATTACAAGCTATTGTTTCTGTAACGTCACCAACGCAATCAGCACCGTGTGTATCTGGGACTGGGCTGTTACATTGTCGGGTTCTAGTCAAACTCCCAGTTCCACAACTCTTTGAACATTCTGATACCGCCCATTCTGACCAGCCACCATCCACTGCAGAAAATGAGGGTAAAATGTATATATCAAAGCAACTTGTCTTTGTTACTATGCATACCTTTTAAAAAAGGTACAGTACGTATCATAAATTATTATCTTTATTCCTGTCAAACATGTGTTTTATAATGCTTTAACAATACTATGCTATAGAACACGCGAGATGCTTATTTGACCAATGACCAAAATAGCAGTGAATATGACACAGATTGTCACAAAAGTAGTAAAATGTAAACAAAGTGGCATTTTGATTTCAAAACAAAATTATCAGTTACCGTCTAAAGAGCTTAGTGTACAAAAATGAAAAACAAGCAAAAAATGACCTAGTTATTCGGCAAATAAGTTAAATTTTTTTTGGAAAGTGTAGCAATTTATCCAAGAGATAATTAATAAATTTTTGAGTAAAATTGATATTTTTTGTGCGGATTAATCGGGCTTTAAACAAAGCAATAAATGTTGAACTACTGTACCAGATTGAGATTTTATCTTTACAATTATTATTATCATCAATTAACACATAAATCACTTTTATTTCATAAAAACTTACATGGTGAAATTTCACAAAACGAACCACTGTATCCAGTAGCACAACTGCACGAGTAATTGGTAGTTCCACTATTACACGTTGCACCATTTTCACATGCATTGCCATTACATTTATCCGGTGGTGTCGTACATTTAGTTCCAGACCAACCGCCATCACAAGTGCAGATAAAGCTGTCTTGGACACTGGTACAGTTATGTCCGTTACATGGTGAAGACACGCAATCCTCAAATACTAGAGGGGGAAAAGGAAACGATCTTTGCCATAATGAAGGTTAGAAATCAAAGAAATACTTGTATATTGACTTTGTAGTACATTGTATGTTGACTGTCTCCTATCTTCCATAATAATCACATTGTATATAGTATCTAGTATATTGACTATATAGTATTTAACTATATAGAATTTGTCTAAATGTGTGCCGGAGATCATGTAAAATGTAGACATAAAAACAGACTAAAATGGCATGATAGAGATAAAGAAAAAAGTATTAATGGCTGAAATCAGCAGAGCTACTGTTTGTTGATGCAGTTGTTGTACCGGAAGGGCATTGTTTACATGTCGTCTGTCCATACCCATCTTGATAGTAACCAAGGGGACATACATTACATATCTCAACCGTACTTGCAGAATATGTTCCCGGACTACATAATTCTGAAAGAAAATAGAATCAAATTGTTATTGATAACTAAGGAACAAAAAAGGAAATTAACTTTTGTAACAGTTTATATATTTAACATTAATTTAATTATTATTCTGCATTTTGTGTAAATATCAGTCATTGAAAACTGTTATGAGAAAAAGACGGCAGTTATACAAAAATGAGTTAATATAAGAGGTGCTCTTTTTTACTGGCAACCATGGTCAAAACCACTTCCGATATGATATCGTGTACATCCGAAGACAGTCGGAAAGGGCCGAAAAGTTGCGATTTCCTTGGTACTGTCAATAAATGCGTTATGTATTGTCAAAACACTAAATGTAAAGCATATTTCAAAGTATAAGTAATACATTGTATATACTTACTGACACAATCAGACTCGGACTTGGACCCAGACACCTGTGTTGTGTACCCTTTAGGACATGATGAACACGTGCTCGCACTTTCGACGTCCTTATACAGGCCGGCAGGGCACTGATCACATAGGTTGCTTGTTTGGTTAAGAAAGAAGCCAACCAGACATGGCTCTGTAAAAGTATTTTGCATATGTTCGAAAAGTCGATTTTTAAACAAAAAACATATAAAATTCGACAATATAAAAATTGAAGCTAATGCTAAAATCTTCAATCCTGTACAAAACATAAGGGTTACAATCTGAAACCAAATATACATTTCACAATCGAAGAGAATTGACTATGCTGCTTTAAATTAATATACAGTGGCTTTCTTATTTTTTTACATTTTGTCGGTTTCTTCTGATTAGGTAAGTAAGACACTCTATACATCCGAGTTTAATATCTCTAATATTAGGCTCTATAATTCTCATTTTGATAGCTGATTTCACAACTTAATGCTTGTTCATGCTCAATAGCAAGACGCTAATCAGAAAAAAATAACTACTTAAAAAAACCCAAAAAGAGGGACGTAGGTCAAAAACTACTAACTGCATGATGATTGGTCCAACATATAACCATCGTCGCATATTATGTCGCCGTAGCTTGGCGTCGCAAATGAATCGGATGTCAGCGTCAAAAGTACCGTTGTTGATCAGTTCTTGATCTGCCGGTTTCATTATGTTGAGCTGTATATCGTCGTAATACGTTATTGCATCTAAAAATGTTGTGTTGGTTAAGTTTAAAGGATTAACGATATAAAATTCCAAAATTAGCAAATGGGTCTCTGTGCTTCGTTTTTCGATTTCATGTTCTCTAGTTGACACTGAAAATATATTATATTAATAAGTGAGTACAACTGTAGAGTCGAGACTAACAATTTTAATTCACATCATCAATTAATGACAACACTGTGGCCATTTTTAACCTTTAAATACTTACGTTCTTCGACAATTGTACCTGTTTCCAAATCACCTAACAAAGAGGGCATGGACAGGGTGAGAAATGGAAAGGTTTTCTTGTACCAAATGTAACTACTAAATCATTTCTTATAAATCAAAATATAATAAGCACAATCTGTCTATAAAAATGTCTAGACATGGTGGAACGTTTTTCCTTTCTTTTTTCAAATACTATAAAATAATAATTACCGTGCATTTGACACTGTCTTACCTTCGTATTCTTGAGAACGAAAATGACGACCGTTTATTGTCCAGGACAGAGATCTCATCTTGCGAGTCTGAATTGGTCAGAATGTTACTACAATATCTTCTACAAGACAGGTTTCTCCAGATGGGCAAACTATTGTGAATAATGGGCTAAGTTTTGTTTCAATTATATTTTGGAAATTCGCCATAATTTCTGCCATAGTCGCCTCATCGCCACAATTGCCGCCATAGTAAAATATCTCAACCGGTAGCTTCACATATCGAGGATTCTTAAGTTCTATAAAAGGTGAAAGGTTATCAATTTAAGATATAAACTCTGTCCTAAAATATTTCAACGCTTGTTTTTAACTCCATTAATGATTAGATTAAGATTAGACAAGACTTCAGAAAAAGGTTTTATCTTTTTTTAAATATCTGTTGTTTTTTGTTTGTTATTTTTTGTTTGTTTGTTTGTTTGTTTGTTTGTTTGCTTGTTTGTTTTTTGTTCTTGTTGTTTTATAATTCATATATCAAATATAAAGTCCATCATATTTGAAATCTTTTGCATGTTTTGGGACTTTTTAATTTTGTAACTCGTTTAATTCTAATTCAAAGGCCAAGTATTAAGAAGCCCCTCTTTTTTATACATTTCAATGGGGGTAGTCTAAGCCTGAAAGCGTTAAGCGACGAACTTTTTGTTTTCAAATTTCGTGATAAAAGGACAGATTCCTTGCATTGCCGACCTATAAATGTTTTAATCTCATTGATATGACTAATCAGAGAGGTTGGGAAACCTGATTATCTTTATATACTTTACCTATACAGTCTGGCACAGTATCAAATGGAGTCCAATTTCCATCGTCTGTACATAAAAAATTGTCCATTAAAGTTTGTGCCCATGTCTGGTATATCGAATAGGTTATTACACGACATAATACGTAACGGTCTTGTTAATACTGTGTCATAGGTTAAAGCTCCATTAATTGGTGCTTCTAGTTCCGGACAAGCAATTTCTGCAAACAGAAAACGTTTTATGGTTATATACTTGTCAGAATATTCCGAGCTTTATTCAAGACGTTTCACAGCAAACTTTGCAAAAATTGATCAGATGGCACAGATGCATCAATTGATCTTGGTCTTCACTGGTCTATTATGAAATGCGTTAAAACGTGACCATTTTAACCAAAGTTTTCCAATGCTTTGCATATCAAACCTACCTCTGCAATAAGGTTTGTCAACAGATCCCCAGCTCCAAACGCCTTCTGATTGGTCATTTGCCTCACACGTGATTAGATCAGTGCCCTCTAGCGGCAGGTACGCGCTACATGACAGCCGGTATGATGCACCGTAAACATATCCAGAGTTTTGTGTTGAACAAGTAAATCTCATGTATTCGTCAGTAAAATTATCTAATGGGTGACCACTAATTATTTCTACAAGAGACAGAACAGGAAAATGAACAGTTACTTCACTTTGATGATAACGTATTTTTATGAATGATATATATTGCTACATTACCAACCCCATAATGCATTTAATTGTTCTAAATGGTAGCTACAAAAGATATATTCGAAAAATATAAGTCAAAAATTCGAATTTGGATTTTGTTGTTTATTGTTAACTTATGTTGTGTATTGTACACGTTTTTAGGATAAAAATAGAAAAAAGTGTATGCATTAATCATGGCAACTTTAAATATTGATCCAAAGTATCATTAAAAATGGGTTGCTTAAAATGCATTGCCTAACTTCAACCTGAAGCTGGATAAAACATTCTTGAGATTTGCTTCCATCTTCATCAACTGCCTTATATTTTACTATTTCTGTTCCCACTTCAAGAACTGCTCCAATTGTTGGGCCAAAAGTTTGTACAATGGAAGAATTGTCGTCTGTGGCGTCAGACGCTGTAGGAAGTTGCCAGGTAACTGATGTTGTCGTCAAACCTCGGTCGGCGTAAAAAATCTGCGGAGTTACGCACGAAATAGTCGGCGGCGAATCATCTAAGTTAAATCGTAAACAACATATTTATGAATTAAAAAAATGTAAAAATGAATTAAATGACTGATTTCAATCAAAGCATTAGCAAGTTCTGCATTACAGAAGTTTATTTACAATGCATAGTAAGTAAATTACACTCATATAAACATAAAAAGCAAATCTCAGTGAGATTTTATCCTACTTTACAGACTACACCTTACCAACGCATGATGTAGCTCCAACGTTTGACCATGTACGGTCTGCCTGGCATTGCATAAAGTAAGCTCCTTTCAGGGTGTACCCTACGTCACATTTCATTGAACATACCGACAAGTAGCCGTAGTCTGGATCCGAACACTGTGCCGTTGTATGCTCAGGATAGTTTGGCTCACTGCAGGTGATTTCTATAACAAATAGAACATAACATTAAAGGCCTATTATTTGCCATTTTTGTTTTCATTTTTTATTTTTCAAACGCTTCTAAACATTGAAGTCCTGTTATATTTCTTTTAAATGCATCTTTGGCCAATCGTTAGCTTCCGTTGCTTTATGGCGATGAGTACAGTAATAAAAAAATAGTATTTTGTATGGAAGTCGGAATACTATTTTGTTTTCAGTTTGCTACATTTACGACAAATAATTTCACATTTTGTCAACTTTATTTAGGTGATGAGCATCTAACATGCTCTGAGACCATTTTTGAATGAGAAGGAAAAATGTATTTGTTTCTTTGGCTAAATGAGCCTTTAAATACTCCACACAGTGTCTGCGTTTGATTCTACGTGATAATTCATCTGATGAGAAGATGTGCTTCAACTAAATTTCCATAGAGCTACGTCCGGTCCGATATAGAGGTATATCATGTTTATTATATCATTATGCTGATTCATTCATGCTGTTACATACATGAGAAATAAAAATATATGGCACTGTTATATTTCTTTGATATTGAATTCATAGGCTTAGAAAAGACGTCTGGTTTTATGGTATGTTTGAGTATGCTTGTACTTTCAGGTTTATATATCAACATTGTGGAGTGTAAAAAAACGACCATCTACACATAAATTCACAATCCGTCTTGACTCTGCCGATTCCTTAAAGTATTTTGTTGTTGTTGTTGTTGTTGTGTTTTTTTTTCCTTTTTGTTGTTTGCTCTTTAAAATATCAACATATTCTTTCAAATATTAAGCAAGAATTCAATTGGAGTTGTCTTACTTACTTTCACAAGTTGGAATAGCTGACCATGATGGCGATGCTGCATATTTACAAGTGACTGTACTACTTCCGGTCAGCTGTACCCAGTATTGCATGTATAATGACATGAACTTCCGAGAATATACTTCTTGTCGCACGTCCGTGCGCCATTTGGAGGCCACGACGGGGAGTTACAAGTTAATTCTTGCAGAAAAAGGAATGAGTATAATTTATGACTAATTTGTTGCACATTTTACTCTTCAGCTGTATTCTATTCGTTCTGCCTTAATAATAACACTATCATTCATTAATGTACAGTGTACACAAACAAACTTCACACATGATAAATTTTCATTATGGTCATATATAATCATCAAAAGTCACATTCAGAATTTTACTAGTAACCATGTGTTCTTTTGAAGTGAATTGGTCTATAATGGAAGGTATGTTATATAACAAATTATAACAATCACAGTATGTAGTATTGGACATAACATATAGCAGATAATCTTCTACTAGAACAAAATAGTATTATTTATCACATAAATGTTCATACTAAATCACTTAGAACTTTGTCAACATTTTCTTGTTTTAAAATACATTTTATATGAATATCCAAATGATACATTTCTATTGTCTTTATCGATTTCTCAAATACTTCTGGAAAACAAAATATGCCAATGGTAGTCCAATCCACTTTAAATTTCCCTCATAGGCTATAGAATATTAGACAGACATATCACACATTCAATGTCAGACAAAATAATGATCTGAAATAATACAGCTTCATAGCATAGAAGACATGAAAATGGTGGAATAAAATCTAGATTAAAGGAAGCAATCTTAATACATAAATTTAGGAATAAATTGTATTATTCTGAAACGTCCTAAAATAAGGGTTCGGATTATCAAAAGTGCACTTAAAGGATCCATTAAGTAACCATAACAGATTTTAAATTATATATAAATACTTTAAGTTGTATAAATACAATAATGTCATTTTGCCATAAGTATTCGCGACTGTCGACTCAGCATAAAAAAGAAAAAAAATCCAATAAAGAATAGAAAAAAAGAACAACAATGGTCTTCCATAGTATACAGTACCTACCAATGACAGTGAAGGAAAAATAACAATGTCCAGTAAGGCCGTCCGAGTCGGTAGCTTTATAAGTAATATATTGCGTCTTTCCATAAGTAGCTCCATCAAACCGACCTCCATTTCTACCACCACCAACTTGTGTAACACTGTACTTGACAAGATACGGAACAGAACAGAACATATTCACTCATATTCTGAATGTTCAACTTTATCGTTCATGATAAATGTTTTATTCTTTACTTCGCAAGTACCATTCTACTAAATCTTATTTCTTATTTTCTTTTTAATTGGTCAATTACTATTATTCTTGGTCATACATTTAAAGGGAATCAGATAATGAGATCCTAACCAAAGGGTAATACCTTGGTGTGCCTCCGTTTCTATCCGAGGCTTTTGGCACGGTCCAGCTAACAACAACGCTGTCCTCTCCGGAACCAATGTTGTAATTACTTTGGATATCGTTTGGTGTACATGGTACTGGGAATGTAGGCGGATACCTGGTCATTGTCCTCACACCTCCCCCTCGTCTCCTTCTACCTGTTTTGTAACTAAAAATAGGACAAAAGATGAAAAAATGGAAGTGCCCACGTGACGGCACAAGCCAATTACAATGTTTTGTACTCCATGAGTAACTTGAGTAAATTATGATTAAACTTAAAGTATCTCAACAAGTTTCAACACTGTCACTTTATTTATTTTAAAAAAAAATCTATAAAAGAAAATATAAAGTTGAATGATTTGCAACTGTTATGCTTTATCAATAACCCACAAAAATATTTAACGCTTTTGATATAATAACCCTGCATTGAACGCGCCACCTCATAAGGGAATTTTAAAAAAAAGACCCCGTTCTGATAAAATTTTTATTTAGGGCTTACAAGAGTATAAGCAATTTACCGGACATTTTTAATATGAATAGTTTTATTACTTTAAAAAATTAATAAAAAGTACATAAAAATTATATAACAATGTGGTATATAATCAAGGTCATAATTAAATAAAATAAATATATATAAAAGAATTCTTTCGAATTTTTATTTACAGAAAAACCCGCAAATCACCACCGGGATAATAAGCCAAAAGAACCGCTTTCTTCTGTTTAATGTTGCTGTTGAAATACATGAAAAAATAGATTAATACTTTTTTAAGATTCAAACAAATTTTAATCTGAAAATCAAAGATATTTGAAGAAAAGATTACTGTTATTAAATTGTCAATAGCCATTCCATTATGTAAATATATGTTGTTATTGGGTTTCTTTTAATAAATAAAACAGAAAAATCATTTTTTAAGCAAATGGTTGACATTATACATGAGACTGTGCAGGAAAAGATATTGCTGTTACTAAGTTCTCTGTATCTTTTTTATCATTCACAAAAACTTTGATATCTTAACTCTCCTAATGTTACTTACACGTTTAACAAGGTGATAAAAGAAACATTTTTTTTTAGTTTTAAGATGCTTTATCCTTATATTCAATAAGATTGTGTACGATTTTAAAGTCATTTCATACCGACAGAGCTATCGGTTCCCGACCAATGACCGTGTTCGCAAGTATACACTTTTCCATCTTCCTCTGTGCACACTCCCTGATGATTAACAGTGTTATCAACTTCATCTTCTTCCGAACAGTAATCTATGCTTACCAAATTATCAATTTCGTCGATGAAACATTTCTCTGTACTTAATTTGAAATCAAAGCCCTGCAGAATAATAAAAATCGTCGTTTTTTGTTTAAATCAAAGACATATAATATACATACTCTGTTTAAATCTATTTTTTTACACCTTTCTTTTATTAAAGAATCTAAGGTCCATACGGACACCCAACAACTTTTTACATCTTATTTAGATGTTATTCGTTGTTCAAATTGGACGTATTAAAGTTATCAAAGTAGTTATCAACGTTCTTAGTTTTTATTTTCTTGCAAGAGATTTTTTTTCAAAAAATCATATCTTAATTAGAATTTGGTTTGTAAACATAAAATGTCATATACAAATTACAATCTATTTTTCAAAGGCGTATAACTATTAATTAGTTGAGTCAATCCTAGAACTTTCAATCTTTTCTATCTAAATTACAAATTATTCATCAATTTTCTAAGTGTAGTGACAATAAAATGCTCATTATAAAACAAAAACATAAATAGCATACTGACGTTTTAGCAAATACAGAAACAAAATTGCAAGTTACTTTTAATAGTTTATTTTCTCAATCCAGTTAAGATGGGTTCGAGCACTAGGATAGGGACAAAATGTCTCTGTAATTACATAAGCACTTGTAAAACCCATGAAATCGACCTCGCGGATAGTTTGCCACATGCTTCAAGGTTTCGACCCAATCGAATGAAAACGAATATGTTTAAATTTATGCGGAATATATATGTTATTGAAATAGTACAATTAGACGTTTTTAATTTTAACTTTATTATTTCAGCGTATTTTCTTTATTTCTTATAATCTTTTGCATATCGTTCTATTGTTTAGTGCTCAGCTGATCTATGTAAGAAATTTAAATATATATGTGTGATTTAGTATTGTGAATGGAAGTCAAAATGCCAGATTATTTTTACTTGCATAGTTTTATAACAAATTATTTAACATTCATCTTTGGGTGAAATTGTTTCCAATTTGCTCAAAAAACGAGTATAAAACACATTTTTGTCCTCTCTGAAGAAGAAAAAAGATGTACTTATTTTTAGGATTCGTATGCATATAAAAGAAAAATAACACATCGTTGAATAATGTAAGTTTAAAAATATCTAAACCAATTAATTTACTATTTTGCTTGTGATATTACGACGCCAATTAAAAAATTGGTAGATCTAATAAAGAAAAAACAGAAAAAAAATCATATGGTGTTTTTTGTTGAAAGGCCAACACTAAATCCAAGAAGTTTGAAAATTAAGAAGATATTATCCATATTTTTCAGCGCGACAGTACTTCACAAAGTACTATTTTGCTTTAACAGTCGCGCAGTTAGGTTTATTTTACTTCCAGGTTCAGTCAGTTAGTATTATAAATAGTGTAAACTAAGAGACCGTCTAATTACGCAAATAATTGTTGGCGCAATATAAACGAAAACTCATCCCAGCGTATTTTTCATGATTTATTTATAGCGCTTACGACTTTTCTATTCCGTTTATTTTATTTTCTTATTTTAGTTATTTATCTACAATGTATTTTTTTTTATTATTTTTTTCTGATTCTAGGAATCATATCTTGTGGATGTATTTTTTTTATTATTTTTTTCTGATTCTAGGAATCATATCTTGTGGAATAAATATTTTTCTTCTTTCTTTTTAACTTCTTTTATTTATCTATTTATTTTTGGGTTTTTTTCTGACACATGGAATTTACATTTGTGCAATAAATAGTGATTATTATTCATAGCAGGATACTTTAAATGTCGCCAAATTATTTGACCTTTGTTCTTTTAGATGCCGTGTGTAAATAAAGAGTTAAAATGGTCCACTTCCAAGTCCGTTTCATGGTTATCTTGAATTGTAAAGATAAAATAATCTACTGGCTTTTTTTTATAAAGGACACGTACTATGTGATAAGTCACATTATTATTAAAATCAGTCAATCAATCTTTTCAGTCGATTCAGGTTATATAAAAGGAAGTAAATATAGATCATTAACAGAAACCAATCAAATTGGATCTCGTACTTTATGTCAATACATTACTGAAGTAGGAAGTGAAACATGTTAATGGATTTTTGTCAAATTGAATGATTCTGCCTTTTTTACAAGTAGTTCTTTTGCGGCTATAATTCATTGTTTACACTAGATTACAAAACAAATATCAAATAATTCAAGCAAGCATATGTAAACAAAATATTGCAATATATGTCATCAATGCGATGTATTGCATGTTTAGTGCAATAAATATGAATAAATAACAAACTTCATTTCAACCAACTATGACACCAGGCAATTAGCATTCTTAGTAAATGTGTTGCCTTCAACAATAATTATCAATACCTATCATTAAAAATATTTTCTTTCTTCTGTACATTATTTCAATTTGCTATTAACAAAGTCAAAACTTGTTAACAAATGCTATAGGTCATTAGTATCTGTAAAACGAAAGTGGTTCTTAGCAATTTGAATGGCCTTATTGGTATACTTCCATTTAATTGTTATAAAATACATCATACATTTTCCAGCCTTTCGAAGCACATGGACACACGAATATCTAAAGACGTTTCCAACAGCTGTACAATTTTTATGAAGACAAAGGAGGAAAATTTAAGCTATGACTCGGTAATTGAACAAAAACAGACACTTTTAAGGGACAGATAGTTAAAAAAGTAGCATGGTGACCATTTATCTTTAGCCCAAGTGTCTTTTTGGATCACTCACTCTGCGTCCGTCGTACGTCATTAATGGCGACAAACGTTTTCTTAAAACAACATCTTCTCCTATACAAATAGGCAAATATTATTAAAACTAAGCACGAATGTTCCAGGCATGAAGCTCTTTTAAAAATTCTATGCTAAATTCGTGTTGCTGTGGTCCGAGAGGGTAATTGGTTTTGCTTATATGTATATGTATATAGTAAAAACAAAAACAAAAATCTTCTTCTATTATGCTTTAAAGGCTTTAGCTAAGATATTTGTTATGAAACATGTTCTGGTGTTCCTCTTCTTTAAAACAATAAAGGCTAAAGCCCTGTTTTTTGGCATGAAACATCTAAAAGACTTACAGTGACTTTTCGTAGCAGTCAGTGACTTTTCAAATTAATCATTGACTCCCATAGCAACTATTGACTTTCTATAGCAACCATAAAATTCCATATCAACTATTTCTATTGCAACCACTGATTTCCATAACAACCAGTGACTTTCCATAGTATTCATTGACTTCAAAATGGATCAGGGAGTTCCCATAGCAACCAGTGACTTAAGAAAACAACCATTTACTTACATAGCAATTATTTATTTTCATAGCAACCACTATCTTTCTATAGCAACATGTGTCTTTAAATAGTAATCGATTACTTTATGTAGCCACCATTGACTTCGACTTTGTGACAAGGACCACGATTATTACGATAACGACCTTAAAAACGACTCCTAGAATTACAAGTATGGTTACATGTTCGACGACGATAACCAAGACTATGACATCTAGGAGTACGAACTCAACCACGAGAGCACCGGTGGCAACGACAAAGGAAATAGCTTTTACGGCTACCACCATGACTGCGAATATTACGAGTTTCTACAAATATATATACAGCAACGTCAACGAACACGAATTCTACAACAAACGTTTATACGACGAGACCTACGACGACATTGACTACGAGAACGGCGACTATAAGTACGATTTCGATGACAACAGCGACAACTACAACGATTTCGTTGTTGACGAATAACTATAACGATGACAATTGAAACTTTTTTTGTTACAGTCGAAGTGAACTTGACCTCCATTTTGATCTACTTAGGTAAAAAATATAAGCCACGGTTATTTTCTGGTGATGATAGATATTCCTACGGAATATGAAAGTAGGAATATGAAAACTATAGGGTAATGAAAATATTATTTTTATGTTTTGTCACTGGCCGTTAGCTATATATAATACGTTCAGAAAGAATACGCTTTTCAATAGTAAATGTTTATGTCCAACGTGCACAGTTTACATTGTCAACCTACGAATAAAGCTCAACATAAGTCTGGTTCACTGTCTACTATTTTGCGATAACGTAGTAGCGTAACAGGACCAGGTAATCCTGACTAAGCTTAACATAAGTTGTTTCAACCAACAATGACAGCCAACGCTTAAGCTATATACGACGAAAGCTGTATACAGTGCATCAGAGCAGATAAAACCATGTTAATCCTGCATATGCAGCATGTCAGGTAAGCACTTGTTTTTTAATAGACCACTCGATAAGAGTCATTATGAAAGTAGTAAAGTCGCAAAATGTGTTTGTTCGCGTTCTGGTTTTCATTCTAATTTTCCTTATGTCCACTCTAGGTTTTTTTAGTGTGTTGGGGGCCGCTTCCTGTGAACGTTGCCTTTGTCTTGTTGATCGTTATTCTTGTTTGTTTTTATTCATGCTTTCAAAATTATCATTCATTATTAATCTTTTGATTTACGTATGAGTTAATGAATATTTTTCAGAACTCTTGTCAGAACAGGTATACTTGGTCTTCAGTGCAATTCCTATTGGCATTGGGAATACAAATGACCGTAAGTTTACAACAACTAGTTGTTTTTATAAGTATAAAAGTACAGCAAGCTGCGGGTTTTTCGACGATCGTTATTGAAATCATCTTTATTTAAACACTTTGATTAAGGTATTGATTGATGAACGCTTTTGATTTAGGTATTGATTGATGAACGCTTTTGATTTAGGTATTGATTGATGAACGCTTTTGATTTGGGTATTGATTGATGAACGCTTTTGATTTAGGTATTGATTGATGAACGCTTTTGATTTGGGTATTGATTGATGAACGCTTTTGATTTAGGTATTGATTATTAAATATTTTGATTGAGGTATTGTAAAATGATTTCTTTGAATAAGGTATAAATTAATGATCTCTTTTGATTCAGGATCTCTTTTGATCTCCAGTTCAGTTCCTAACTTTCGAATTGCAGGTAGTCTTCAGTTTACAATAACTAGTTGTTTTTGCAAGTATTTAAGTACAGCAAGCTACGATCGTTATTGAAATTGGTTTAATTGAGAATCTTTTTAAAAAGCGCATTTACGAAAACAAGCACAAATGACTTTCAATAAAGGTTAGATAAATGCATCATCAGTGTCAGCATTTTGTTTTTTTTTTTTGGAGGGGGCTCTCATATATTCTTTCCTTATCTTTTTTCATTCTCTTAATGATTCCTTTTTATTCATCGCCTTTCTGCCTGGTTGGCTGGATTGCTGACTGTAAAGCTAGCGGACGAACGAACGACGGACGGACCGAAATTGAAAACATATGTTGTCACTTTGAATAAAGTTATTCTTATTTTTGAAGCTTTCTGAGTGAGCGGATAGTTTTATTCTATGACGTTATCTACAGCCTCTGATTTAAATGAATCCGTATAATTTATTATTGTTAGTGTTTTGATTTGCAGTCAATTTATGGATAAGATTTACGAAAAGTGCACGAAAAAATGTATTACATGGACAACACAGCTTTACTTTATTAACGTTTTTTAACGATTGTAATATTGTTGTTTGTTTTGTTGATTTCTTTATCATACCGACACAGTTATTGCCATCTAGCGACTTTCCAGCAACACTAGCGAAGGCAGACTTCAGGTGACCGTCTTTTTATCATTTCATGCACCAGCTAGTACTGCAGAAGAAACACTGGTGTTCCGTATGAAAAATGGATAGTTCATTCACACAAAATAATTGAGAATTTAGCGGGACTAGAACCCGCAGCTTTGAGAGAAAAGTGGTTGGAAATCACCCACATAACCACTCGGCAAAAACGTGTCAATAATTCTTACTATTCTAACTATGTTGTTTACAATCAAGTTAATACAAAGATTGATTATATTGTATGAGTTCGTAGGTAAAATCATTTATCACATACCCGTACAGCTTTTGCGACTCCGTATCAATAGTATTGCGCGGCCGTGCATATATTTCACGTGACGTCTTTGCGTTATACAAACAAAATTAAAAGACACGCTAAATGTAAGTGGCACACTATAAGCGCGTCATTGAAAAAATGATTTTTGTTTTTATGTATTGAACCTTCACACGTTCGATAATATTTATTTCTGTCATGTATGTCTGCCATAATACACTCAAAAATATTATCCTTGCTAATGGTATGGACAAGTTTGCCAATATGGCATTGTTTTGCAGCTGATGTGTTATATAATAATTAAGAACAGAGAGTATATAAATATTTGACTCCTCTCTGTTGTTGAGACAGATGCTTATCCAAAGAGCGAAGAGTTTCATTTAAAAAAACTACATTTTAACCGATTAAAGTTTAACGCCTTTAGACTCTAAATATGTATTGTGCATAATTAAATTAATATCCTGGTACTAACAAAAGGGAAAATATTTGAAATTTATCTTTCATTCTTCTGTGCACAAAAATAGAAACTTATACGCGTAATAAAATAAAAAACTTATTTGTTATCATTTCACTCGGCAAGTATGTCTTCTTTTTCGTAGTAACTATGCCTGCAATAACAGTTAAGCTCATTATGACTAGTACATGCGCATCAAGCGCATACGGCGGCGCAGTCTTTTTTGTCATAACGTCCTTAACGTTGACGTTAAGAATACAAGGCTGATGCCTATAAACTTTTTTTGGGTGAATAATTGTGTTGTCATACGACGATTCCTTTGTCTGCGCTTACCATAAATGTGCAAACAATTTTTTAACAGTGTAAAATCTGGTTTTGCGGTTGATTTCTTTAAAAAAATCATAAAATGCCTTCCTTTTTCTCGGTTTTTCTTTGTTTAGCTTAATTTTTCGATATTCATCACAAAGGGGCATCACAGGTCAGATTGACTATGAAAACCCAAAAGATTATAGTTGTTTGCACGTACTGTAGACTGCATTTCGCATCTTAAATATTGTTTATAGAATTGTCAAACATCCGTTTTCTTCGAAGTTATTGCATAGGATTAATTTGTTTCAAAGTGGAACAAGCAGACGAATAAAGCATGAACAAAGGATAATTGATTAATTTAATCGGAGTGGTAAATGTACCAAAAAAATATCAAAAAACATGTGAATTTGTGAAGAATATTCTGGATACAGTAGAATAAGATTTCACAGATCATGACCGTTTAAATGGGTCTGTGTTTGTTTTGTTATTGAAACACAGCTTAGTGTATGTTTATGACTGGTAGACATCATCATAATTATTCATTCACGTTTGGAAAAAATTTCTTTCGGTGTATTCTGAATTAGTAGCATCCCTTATTCATATGTTTGATAAGGCTGCAGTCCAGAATTGGAAGCGCAAGTCGTATTCTTGCAAGGAACAAGCGAGTACTGGTAAACAGAATTCAAATCGTCATGTAAAAGCTGGAACAAAATGTGAAAAAGGGTCTTATACTTAAGATGAACTGAAAGTAATATTTTGGGAAAGAAAGATGTAGAAGTTGACTTTGATGCGATATGCGCCAGTAATATAATCGTCATATATATGTACCCCACAATGCAGAATTGTTAAACTAATGCAGGATTGTGCAAAATTAGACATAGTTGTGGAAATAAATGCTGAAAACTAGTATCTTATAAAGCTATATAGTTCGGCAAATGTGTTAGGTATACCGAAAAGCAAACTATAAAGAAAGGCTTAATGTGCATTATTGTACACATTAATATCGGCGAAACACAAACTTCAACGCCAGAACAGTAGCCAGTTCGTTTTCCTCACAAATAATCTTGAATATATGTTATGAGGGTCCGTACAGCCGAATGCGCTAATTTATTTCTATTTATTTTATTTATTTGATGAAATGCACTTTAAAATATATAACGACTCTTTTTCCTATTCGAAGTGGTCATTACCCCCCCCCCCCAACACACACACACACACCCTATAATTTTGCACAATTCAGCGTTATTTTTCTGCGTTACGTGAAATACATTTACGGTGAATATTGTGTAATGCACGAGTTTTTCGACTTCACATATTTTCTATTGTATAGAGAAGAATAGAACAAAAAAGGTCGGTATATATTTGCAGACCTGTTAAGCGATAAGTAATTTACTAGACCGCTTTTAACAAAAGGGCCGGTAGGTAAAAATGGTTAAAGAACTACGCGTCGAATTAAACAACGTCGATAAACTAAAAACATATGAAAATGAAAAAGGTCAAAACATGTATTGTTGGAAAATAGTAAAAATGTCAATTTTGATATATGACTTGATCGGTTAAGGCGAACACACACTGTGTTGAGATTACCGGTATGAACGATAAAATCTATAACACGAAATTTCATTCGGACATTTATTTTATGAAAAGTTCTTTTTTACAGAGGCGCACATGAATTATAATGGATCGTAAAAATATATCCTTACAATTTTTTTTTAGATGAGACGTACAAGTAATTTGATATTTAAAATCCGGTTTTGGTATACTATTTCAATGGTCTACGACTGGATTATGATTCATTTAAAATTCCCAATTTTACATATTTACTAAATCTTATTTTCCTATCATTTCAATCAATATATTGTTTTGTATAATTACTATAACTGTATTAATATTCAAATGCCGCCAAGTTTGGCTCCAATCCGAGACGGTTCGTATTTGACAAATATTTGCTAACAATAATGTCACCCCATACCATGCAAACTGGTATCTTCCGAAACCGTTAACTGACTTGTGTCTTATTTTTAGACTTATTAAAACAAATAGTTCCCATATTTTATTTTGTGTAACATTTGTAATGTTCAGTTATAGTTATGATGCGACATTATCCGGTACAAATCATGAAGAAATATGTGTTGATCTATATTTTTCTAGGATTAATAATGCGCATATCATGTCAAACGAGAGTAAGTATTAATTTTTTTTTATTTGTGTTTTTTCAAATTTGTTCCACCAAAGGAGGATATTCAAAAATATTCTTTCTAATGAAAAGAAAAAAAATGACCTTTAGGTAATTCATTCGATTAACCACAATTTTCGGAATATTTCTAAATGACTATTATGAGAAAAGGGCGACTTAAGGGTCATTTGTCGTAATGATAAACAAAATTAAATAGCTTTTAGAGTTTGAGTCAAATCTTTCACTAAATGTCTTTTGACTAAATGGTAAGAGTGTTTTTTATTTCCTTTTGTTCGTATGTTCGTCTTTTGATGGATTGTTTTTCTCTATATCTTGCTCGCTTAAGTCATCAAGTATCGTTGCTCTATTTATCTACAATGAGTCTACACTATTCGTTCAAAGATGTACAAGAATGTAACTTAAGCGTGACAGTAAATTCAAAATATTTGCCATCTACTATTAAAATGCATATAGAACGTGAATATTTTGTAAAGAAAATGAAGGATTATAAACCTCGCAAGAATCAGGTGCACTATGATTTTTGTAAGGATTAGATTGCTTACAATTAAACGTGACGATAATAGTAGAGTTATAACGCAATCAATATTTTATGCATGGCTCTAAATCCTGATAAACGTCTGTATTACGATATCTTAATAACAACACATCTCCTTTTGTGAGTAAATTTAAAAATGTCTAGATTTCAAACAATTCCAGCTGCCGCAAAAAAGTAAATAATATAGTTTCGACTGTCCAAACAAGTCCAGTATTTGTGTTATTTGTAGAAAAGGGAACATATACATATAATTCGTTTTGTTGGATACAAATTAACATAAGAGTACATAATTTTATGGAATAAGGTAACCGTTATAAACAGGTATATAAATAGTATATAATAATATATATGATAATAAGTGCCGGAACCATAGTTTCAACGTCATTTGTGGTTGTTTGTGTACACATGTGTACGCATCGTGAATTCGTGAAGTTGAAATCGTGAATTCATGAAGTTGAATTCGTGAATTAATGAAGTTGAAATCGTGAATTCATGAAGTTGAAATCGTGAATTCGTGAAATTGAACTCGTGAATTTGTGAAGTTGAAATCGGGAATTCATGTAGTCCAACTAATTAGACTTGTCAAAGAGACACCGAGATAATTTTGGACGGGCGCTGTCTTTTTCCAAGTCCAACCACGAACTGCATTTTTATGCACGGACGCTTCCCAATTAGAAGTTGTTGGGAGCGAAAACTAGAAAAGTTTCAAAGAAACGGTCTACATTACCTGAAAGAGAATCGTTTTTTATGCAAGGTTCCAAATCATCATACTTCAAATTCGAACAGAAGTCTAAATATTCCACTTTAATTTTTTTAATCGTTGAAAATTATTGAAAGCGGCCATATTGGAAAGCGGTGTCATGGTAAAATTGTAAACACTGGTAAAATCCATGGTGTAACACAGGTATCGGCGGCAATCGATTGTATTTGCCAAGCTTTATTATACAATTTGTTTATGTTATTTATATGAATTATTGCAGGAATAACTCTTTTATTCACACACAAATATTTCAGCATTAAAAAGAGAATGTGTAAAGGAAATTATGATAACCTTACTTAGAAATTAAATAGTTTATGATGTCCGATGTCAGATCATACTGCATTTAAGTCCGTTTAAATTGTCAAATTAGATATTATTAAGTTGGATTTTTTAACATCTGTGATCATTAGGTGAAATTTCTGAACTACCTTTTTATTTTATAACCCTGTCATGATTTCCCACATACGAAAATACAATGTAATTGTAGGTACATCTTATTTTTAATGAATTATAATTATGCTATACATGATGAAGCAAAGAAGAATTTCAATTTATATTACACTCCATATCAATTTCTAGTTTATTATCTTTAAAAGAAATTGAGGACGGTTGTGTATGGGAAGAAGTTCAAAACAACCAAAAATAACTTTAAAACTCTGAAAAAAAATCTTAAAATTTCAAACTATAAAATGGAATGTCAGACAGTCCTCAGTAAAATACAATTGTCGCACAGATTTGACGGGGTTCATGATAAAAACACAGCAAGCGGAAATTTAGTGACCGTTATTTAGATGTTGAATAGCATAACAATGTAAGACAGATGGGAGAAATGTTGGAACGACTGTCGCAAAAGGCACCAAAACCTCTGATACCCATTAAAAATTCCATGTTATCTACTTCCCGTTGAACGGCACCTCGAATGTGTCACATTGAAAGTTCCATGATTACCGCCGTATTATGTACACATCTGTGGATGTTGATTAAAAAAAATCAACATTATTATGTTTAAGTGATCAATTCTGTTTAAACCGGCGAAAGGGAGCACTTGAACCTACCAGAGCCGTCTTTGGCACTCCTGTGTATTTATGTTTCGATTTTGCAGTTTCAGGCGTTTTTGGTGGTTTTTTTGGAGGGTGGATACATGAATGTGGATAAGTTTTTTCTGTTTCTTTACATTTCTTTGCTTGCTTGCCGAACCTTGTATTGATAATCATTATCTGTTTGTTACGGTTCGGTATACATGTATACAATATGATAAACAAGATGAACAAGGAAAGGCGGCGTTCAATGAACGCAAACCCCACACGACCCAGGAACATGAACCATTGGCAAGGAGCCCAGGAGGATCCTAAATTAAAACGGGAAAGGGCGCAAGGGAGAGCACGGTCAGGCTTATCACTAAAATGTAACTGAGAAGGAAATCAAAGAAAATAAATAAATGAATGATTAATAGGACCACTAAGTTAACGAGCACAGGGGAAGGGGATAGGAAATTCGGGGAGGGGGCGAAATAAAGAAATAAAACTAGGGGCAAAGGGAAGATACTTACCAAAGACGAAAAAACAACAAGGGACACAAACAAAAGTGTCACCAAAACAGTATGAAACAGGACCACTAAGTTAAGGGCACAGGAGAAGGGGATAGGAAATTCGGGGGAGGGGGCGAAATAAAGAAATAAAACTAGGGGCAAAGGGAAGATACTTACCATAGACATCAAAACAACAAGGGACACAAACAAAAGTGTCACCAAAACAGTATGAAACAACAAGACATACACCTTATACATGTATAAGTCTCTTAATCTGTTCATTTGAAAATTCTGATCTTCTCAATGACTTTTTTTAATATCCTCTACATAAAATTTATTTCAATTAAAATATGTGACCCTTCCCTTATAGTTACACAGCATTTGACTGGATCACAATAAAGTTCCTTTTTAGTAAATTAATAAAGTATGTCAAGAAGACATTTAACTTTATCAATAGGTTTAATATGGTATTATATATCGGCAATCGGTGAAAAAGAGCTCTTGAAATATTATTTGTACAAATACTGAATAATTTGAAGTGTATTTCAAATACAGTCTAACCCCGTTTATTCGAAGTGCCTGGGACTGAATATTTACTTCGAATAATCGATGGGTTCGAATAATCGAAATCGGAATATTGTGATATACGAAAACTACTCCACTTTGACCAATCACCGCAAAACTACCGTTTACAACACACTTGCTTCCTGTAATCAATTGAGAAAAATAGATATTAAAGAAAAGATGCGTAAAAATTATTGTATTGACATTTAAGACATAAATACTTGCATTTTATTCTACATTATGTATCGTTTCGTTTCGCGCAAAGCCTTGATACTGGCCGTGTCGTCACTACGGTATTTACAGCTAAACTCTGGTATTTTCGATTAGGATAAATTCGGGCTCTCATGTAGCGTTACAATTAATGAAAAAATGTTTTTGATGTTTTGACAAATTCACATATACGTAATGTATAAACATTATTGCTGTCATCTTAAACAAAATCGAACACGGTGCATAGCTTTTCATTTTCGTTAATTAAAAGTGATTAAAGAACACACGAAGTGTTATTATCATGATTGTCTAATTACACGCATGACTGTGGATATTTTTCACAAGTCGACTGGTCAGCGAGTGGATCTGCGTCAATTAGTCTAGCTTCGAATAATAATTAGGATGGCTTCGAATAATAGGTGTGAAATTATTTCGTAATTGTATAATCGGGACCGAAATTTTACATCGAAAAATAGGAGGTATTCGGATAATGCATTTCGAATAATACGCTCGTATTTATATTGTTTTATATAGAGATAAAAACGGGACCGGCGATCTACTTCGGATAATGCCGGGTATTCGAATAAAGGGTTGTCGAATAACCGGGGTCGGACTGTAGTTTCCTTCAATATTTCTTTTACGTTCTTAATTGTCATATAGATATGCATGTATAAATGAAGTCAGTATTTTATCCGAGAGTGACATTTGGCAGTCATTAGCAGTAAACAAGAAGGCAAACCACTAATTGATAAATGTTGAGTACAAATGTACATGTATTAAAATATTTAAAAAATATTAAACAACAGTACTTGTACGGAGCCTATTTGCGACCATTGCATTTTAGGTTAAATACAATGATACTTTTCAATAGTATTTAATAATGCACACATTTATTAAAAAATAATGAATAGATTTATTTCCCCCGATATTATTTTTAGTTTAATCTTCATGCGTAACCCACACTTACCTGCTATACAAACTGGTAGCTACTACCAGCTTTCACAGAATCGATTTTTTACGATGACGTCATAACATGTCCGCCGAAGATAGAGTAGACAGTACAAATTTGAAATAAATCGCATGTATGCGTTAAGACAGGTACAATCTAATATTTTTTCTAGGAGAAGTTAGTACTAAAATTTATATTCTATTGATCTTTAGAGGTAATTGAAGTTACTTTCAGGTTTAAGCAGTAAAAATCAGTCCAAACTATCGATAGTGTTACCGGTAGATTTTCCGTGCGTAAAAATGACAGTTAAAATTAGGCGTAACGGTTTGACAGTAAGAAAAAAAAGTCTGTAAAATGGGTCAAACCGTTCACGCCAAATTAATTAGGCTAGAATTCATGAAGATGAAATCGGTTATTCAGAAAGTTGAAATGTCCCTACCGGGCTTTCGTACAAAATAGCTTTAAGTAACGAGATACCATCTAGATAAATTATAGTCTACCCTTAAATACCTTACATGTTATATCTGAAAATTGATACTGTTTTTACAGTTTATGCACCAAATCCACTTATAATACGTTATAGTTTTATTTGTATCTGAAACAGTTTGTAGGCAATCTTGGAACATTTTTCATGTGTGCATTGGTACTTTAATCATATAGTTGAACAAAACTTAAAATATATTATATGTTATTTTGGTTTTGGGGTGGTATATGTGGATATATTACCTGTCAAGATTTTCTATCATCCGAGCCGTTAGGCGAGGGAGATATTTTATCTTGGCAGGTAATATATCCTCATAAATCACTCCAAACCCAAAATGATAATTTTATTACCCCTGCCGAGTTAAGACGATTTTAAAAGAAATCATTGCTACTTCAAATGAAACGTCGAAATAAGATTCCCTTAAGGGTACCCCTTCACCCCAACATGACGTCACATAAATACATGACGTAGTTTCTTTCGAACCTAACAAATGTAAACAAGAGAAAATGAGTAGTCTATTGAACGCACTTTTTTGGAATGAATATCAAGCTTTCACAAGGTCATATTTGTTTTCAATACTGGTGAGAATATGTATCATTACTCTATTTTGGTAAATATTTATCATTTGACAGTTAAAAAGTGCTTGTAAATCGGAATTTACATCGCGTAAAATCAAACCGTACGCACATCGCCACAGCGCATGTTTTTACAACGTGGGGTACCCAACGGGGAAATTTAGTGTGTATATTACCCGTCTGGCTCGGTTATATCAATTTCTTACTGGTGATCAATATCTAATCCAAAAGGCGGAAAAATCTGAAAGGGTAATAAAAAGCTATATATCTGCTACATTATATATTGTTTGATTTCAAATAACGAATTCTTCCAAAATGCTTGTTTGACATGTGTATGGTAGTAAATCTCCTTAGTATGCTAAACGAATAAAATTATACTTAAAATGGCAAAATAATATTTGGTTCTGGAACATTTTATTCTGTTTACGTACAATATTCGTGTGTGAAATAACAGAGATATTCTATGAAAACAACTCATTCGAGAATCGACTATAAGAGTATTGGACCAATAATTTTTTACAGTTGATAAATCTTAAAAAACAAATCCATGAGATAAAGATTATACCCTTTAAACAATAGTAGTTTTTGATAGGTTGCATGTATCTGTATTAATTCTGCATTCTCTTTACAGTTATTCTTTTGAATGATTATTTTATAAGATAACTGTTTCCGTATTTTCACTTTTTACAGATAGATACTCCAACCAAGGATAAGTGTTATCTAACAGATATCAAATTTTTAAACTACGAAAGGTGTACAGGTGTAGATTTTGGTGGTAAGAGAGTAAATCATCAAGGATCATGTATCACAGAAGAAAACAAGGTTATCGAGTGCATACATGGTCATTGGTCCGGTACCGGAAGCTCTGTCGGTAAGATTTTGTTGTTTTTCTTTTGTCTGTTTGTTCTGTATTTGTTTTCATGTTTACTTTCAAATTAAAATTTTACATGTTGTGTTGATGATGGTGTAACTTTAGAACTTGTTATGGTTGTTGGTGTTATTGTTTTTTTCTCTTGTTATGCTTCTATTGGAAATATTACTGTCGCATCCGCAAGGGGTAGACAATCTTTCACTAGAAATACCACGCCAGTAAAATCGTCTTTTGAAAAATTGTTGTTTGTTTGTTTTTTTTTCCTTGTTTTTTTTTTTGTTTTGTTTTTTTCAACATTGGCTGAACTTTTTGCAATTTTACATCAACACACATAACTTTTATTTTTTAAGAATGAAAATTAATACAAAATTAAGTATACATGTACATGTATGAGAAATAAGTATCAGATTTTGACATTCAGCTAAAATACAAGGCTATACTGATTTCAGGTCAGAACTATTATTAAAATGATTTCAGGTCAGAACTATTATTAAAGTGTATATAAAGCTAAATATCTGATGAAAAATTATTGTTTGGATTTTAAATAAAAAATACTTCCAAAATGCTTGTATGAAATAAAAATGTCAATAGATTGCCTTAAAGCGAATGGCGTATGTTTAAAGTCATAGCTAAACGGATAAAACCCTACATAAAATAGCCGAATGATATTTTATTCCGGAACATTTTATTCTGTTTACGTACATTATGCATGTGTGTTAAATAATAGAGACATTCTATGTAACATTTTTTCGGGATAAATTTTATAAAAATATTTCATAAGATATAGATTTATACCCTTTAAGAGTTGTTTTTCTTAAAACAGGTATTATTATCATTGTTGTTGTTGTTGTTGTTATTCTTTTTCTTCTTTTTCTTCTTCTTCTTGTTATTATCATTATTATTATTATTATTATTATTATTATTATTATTATTACTATTGTGCGTGTGATTTAGTTTTTATTTTTGTTATGCTTGTTTTCTGCTGTTGTCGTTGTTGCTGCAGTTGTTACTGTTATGTTCGTAAGATTGTTTCTTTTTTGTTTTTGTACATTGTTACTTCTTTTATATATATATATATATATATTGAAATGTTTGTTTAGTTTTGCATACAATCATGAACAATAATGATTAAGTTCAGTGGTAAAGGTTCAAAGTGTTATACCTACATGAACGTATGTTAACAAAAAACACATCTCTTGTCTTGTATTTATTCAAAAGGACCATTACGTAGAGAAAAACGATTTTGGGGTGTTGTGATCGGTTTTGTTGGATGTCTTATTTTATGTAAGTATTTGTTTTATCTAAATTACTTGTAATTGTGTTGTTTTTTTTTCCTTTTGTAAAAATAAATAAAATAGAGAAAAAACGGAATCCCTGAAAAGCGCCCAAAACGGCAAAATTGAAAGGGATCAAATAGTTTTGATTTTTATATATTTAATCGTGAACGAATTTGTTTTTCTAATTTAACAGTATAATAGTATGGATATCCAATCTTATTGGAGTGTCCAAGGCCTAGTTGATAAGGATATTGATTTCAAACCACTTGCCTCTCACTGCCGTGGATTCGAACCCAGCCCCGAACTTTGTGTTTTTATGTGAAGAAACTATCAAGCAGGCTTTCGGAATGTCGGCGTTTCTACTCAGGTGCCTGTTTGTGTCTGAAAAAACGCAAGGGGGTACCTGAGATCTTCCTCCAATAGAAAAGCTTAAACGTTAGTATATGACCTTTATAGTGTTGGTTGCAAAAAAAACGAACCATAAAATACACAACATCACGCTTTCGAAAAACACAATTATAGTAATATTTGTGGTATAGTTACTCCCTTATTGAATAAACCTTTGTCTATTTATGATACCCTCCGATCTGGTTGTCATATAATTATTAAAGTAATTCATAAAAACAAACATTTGTATTCGGGAAATAAACAAGATTTCCTTAAGAAGTATAAAGAATGTATTTTAACCACTGAGCGTGACATTAAATTATCTTTAAATTCATATATTTTCTTTCAAGGTGGTAATGGTGGTGGCGGCGGCGGCGGTGGTAGACAAACACCGATATCACATCCTCCTTCATTTTCCCAGCCTTGTAGACCACGTGATCTGCAAGAAAATTATAACATTGGTACTGGACAGAATAATGTGATAGTAAACTGGACCGTGCCTTCAGCAACAGACGAGGATAACGATATTCCTAGGTCAAACTAACTTTTATTTATGTCAAATAAGTCTATATATCATAGTTTTTTTAATTGAAATAGTTCCAAGGTCAATGTAAAAAAACACTATGCTGTTAAAATAAGTGGAATGAGTAAACTATTGAATGTATTACATTTAATACAATTTGATATTGTGATTATTGTTCAATGAATGGCTCAATGTTTTACACATTTTATCTCTATTCATTTCATTGTGGAAACTGTACCCTTAACTCAGCCAGAGATGTTTTTCACATTGTGACTAGTGTCGAGCAATTGATTAAACCAGCCAAACAGTGCCGTAGCAAAAAATTCCGGCAACTACACATCAGTCTGACCTTTTTGTAATACTGAAATAATTGCGAATGTATTTATACATCTTGAGGAAGTGGTAAAATCAAAGTCCCAGTTTGAGTTTAGCAGCCAGTATGACCTTTACTTCATGAAATGCTTTGGCTTCCAAGCTCTCTAGCGATATAGATATAGAAGCATAAAGGCGTTTCTGATCTACCTAGTTCTCATTCCAAGTAGTCCCTAACCAGTCTTTATTGGCAGTTTAACACCGGGTTTTTTCATCTTAGTCTATAGTGACAAAATCACGAGGAGTGATAGAATATTGGATAAAAAACGAAAACATGAAATAAAATTAGAAATGTGCCTACAGAGATTCCCTCGCAATATGGCATTTCTACCTGGAAGTTAAACCTTATCCTGGACGTTAGACGTCCCCTCTGACCCTGACAATGGTATAGTCATTTACCAAATATTTTGATAACACATCAAGAAATAAAAAAAAATATTAAACGAAATAATTTTGATTTTTGACCTCCACATCTCCAAGGTTGCAGACGGTGGTTTTACGAATGTAACACCGTATAAATGAAATGAAATGATATACCAACCAATTTGACAATCCATAAAGTAATGACCGAAATTTAAATCCAACTGTATTGACCTTTGACCTCCAAAGTTGACCTTGACATGAAGATGCAAATACAACTTTGCATGCAACACATAGCGTGACAGTAGTGAAGACATTATCCATCAAATATTGATACAGTAATACGCCTGACAAGATTTGACCGTGAACTTCCAATCTTGACGTTGAATGGGCGGGCATGCGTCTTGCACTCAACACGTTGCCTGTTTATGATGCTAATGTGTACTTATCTGTGTTGAAATCCCTTCATGCATACATGTACAGCGCGACAAATTGTCTATTGTTGACTTATTATGGTTATGTGTAGAAATTTAGTTTGAAACCTTGCATGCAAAGTTATGACTCGAACACGAAGTACATACTTTTTCGAATACATGCGCGCTCTTTCGCATACACGGAGGAGGAAATCTCGAAACGCCCCCTCCCGCACCGCAATGATGAGGCATGATAATCTCTTGTGCTGATGTTTTGTTGTCTTTATATTCAACATATGTACATTTTAGGGTTGTTCAAGTTGCTGGTGGTGAGAACGGAGGACGGTTTGACGGCGCCATATCTGGAAAGACACATTCTATCATTTACAAAGCAACAGACTCAGAAGGTCTGACAGACCATTGTTATTTTAACTTTACAGTCACTGGTATGTCGATAAATATTTACTCGAATCGATTTTTTCCAAAACTTTTATTACTGCACAACAGATGCATTTTTCAAAATTCAAATAAAACTTTCTCTCATATTATTACTGCAACGAAAAAACAACAACAAATGAATACATAAATAATATAAAACATGTACTGAGCTTTTCCTTTTCTTATGCAAGTATTGACCTGCGATACCCTACCTTGGTTTGCAAATGGAAAAAGATATTGTGACAACAAGAACATACTAGGAAGCTCGTGTCAATACACATGCAACATCGGGTACATGCTAAACGGAAATGATACAGTCGTGTGTGAAAATGAAGCAGATCCTTCTTGGTCGGCGATTCCTATCTGTGAAAGTAAGAAAAATTATCGTTAAAATACAACTGACTGTAACAGTACATGAAACATTTTGTATTCAATATATGATCGGAAATTTAGGGTGGCTGATTTACGCCATGTCGTTTTTTTTTTTTGCTTATTCGCCTCAAAATGCGAAAATGCGAAAACACGAAGGGACGACAAAGTTTGTCGTCTCTTCGTGTTTTTGCTTTTTCGCATTTTCGAGGCAACAAAGCAAAAATACGACAGAAGGAGGGCGAAAATACGACAAACAAAATCTGTCGTATATTCGCATTTCATCTGTTGTATTTTCGCTTTTTCGTGTTCAAAATACAAAAATGCGAAAACATAAAGAGACGACATAGTATCACTTTGTCGTCTCTTTGCATTTTCACCTTTTGGCATAGTTACATTTTCGCATTGTAACATATTCGCAATGTAGCATTTTCGTTTTTCGCATTGTTACATTTTCGCATTGTTATGTTTTCGCATTTTCATGTTTCGGTTGTACATGCGCATGGAGACATCAATTCATTATTTAATAGTCCTATATAATATATGTTGTATTCACGTAGATGTATAATTTAAAAGTATCACCCCGCTCCATACACATGTAAAATAATTAAATATTATAATGGAATGGTTTTCAAATTGTTTTGAATCAATTAATGCAACAATTATTATAATAAATACAGTACTTTGTTCCCATCATCCTTAGATTATCAGTTTATTTTGCTGACGGGTGTGACATGAGATTTACGATAAAGGCACTGCCCGCACACATCTTGAAATAGATATGTCTGAGTATTAGTGTTTTTTCACAGGAAAACATTTTATAATGTCTGTTAATCTAGTATTTACGTTTTTAAGACATACTTTATCTGATTACGTAGAGTGCATTTTGGATAAAGTTCGTTTAAAATTTATATAATAATATATAAAATCATTTTTATTTTTTATTACATTATACCATGTTGTTAGGCGTTCCTCAGGTCTTTAAAGCAAAGATCTCTTGATGGTTATTCTGTCTTCCCCACATTGCACGAATATCAATAAATGGAGAGCAATAAAAATTCATAGAAAATTCAATAAACATATTGTTTTTAGATAATATTGTATTATACTGTGCTTCTCTTAGTTCACGTTACTTAACACAGGGAAACAATAAATGAATGGTAAAACAAATATCATTAACTGTAACGTTTAGGTAATTTAGATTGATGACTCCATGCGCAAGTGCACCGGAACGCGAACATGTTACAATGCGAAAAAGCGATAATGCGAAAATGTAACAATGCGGAAATGTAATAATACAAAAAAGCAAAAACGTAACAATGTGAAAAAGCGAAAATAGGACAGATGAAATGCGAATATACGACATATTTTTCGCCCTCCTTCTGTCGTATATTCGCTTTGTTGCCTCGAAAATGCGAAAAAGCAAAAACACGAAAGAACGACAAAGTTGGACGACATGGCGTAAATCAGCCACCATAGAAATTACTTCCGTTTATTTCTAAACATTTACAAAAAGTATTCTTTAACGGATATTTGTCGTATTATTAATTAATATGGAGATGTGTATACATGTATAATTTCGTTACTCTTAAGATAAATAATACGGTTATTGTTTGCTTTGTTGTTTTTTTTTGTCAAGAGATCATGTGCAGTGCTCCACAGTTGCCTGAGCATGCCACAGTTCAGTGCTCGGATCAAAACTACGGATACCAGACGGTTTGTACAATGGCATGTGACAATGGATTTGCATTAATAGGAGCTTTTTATATACAGTGCCAGGCAAATGGATCTTGGTCCAATATTGCAAACTCATTGTGTGTCGGTAAGGAGGCATGTTTAAGATGTTTTTTCTTATTGAGTGTTTTTTATATGTCAAATTGTGTCTGCCACTTGCTGAATTTTTCATCTTTGGTAATTGCATTATATCCATAATTGAATTACATGATAGATGGTTATTAAAAGAAAATGTTATTCTGCATATAATTGATGAAATCTCTAAGTCGTAAATAAAGTCAGCAATAACACATGATTACATAAAACACAATAATTTGTGATGTAATGATCATTTTTGTCGTGTGACAAATGAAATTGAATTTGAGTATTGAAATTTAGTTGCATCTCCTTTCCCCTTTGATGAAAAATTCATGCATTCTAGCGGGCGTGATACGTTCCTTAGCAGCTAATTAAAAACACTCCGTTACTTCAAACGTAAAAATGTGGACGGTAGTGGAACATCGGACCGATGCGCAGAAGAGTAAGGGTCGTGAGAGGTGTTGCATTTTTTACATTATCTCTCAAAGATAGACCTAATCAAACCGAGTCTCCATATTTGATATAACATTGTTGTTTCATTGTTTTCGAGGGATCACTCTATTTCAAGAACTTTAGATAAAATAGTTGTTTTAAATGAATTAAATCATCATTATTTCATTTAAGTCATTCTTTCTCATCATAACTAGATAACACACCACCAACTCTTTCCTGTTTAACTCCACAAATATTTTACGCCGACCGAGGTAAAACGTCAACGTTAGTTAAATGGCAACTTCCGGAAGCGTTTGACAAAACAGATGAACACCCTTCTATAGTACAAACAGGTGGACCAATATGGGGGACAGAGCTTGAACGAGGAACTGAAGTTGTAAAATATACAGCAGTTGATGTTAATGGAAACAAATCGCCCGAATGTTTAATCGAACTTCGTATTGAGGGTAATTTCATATAATGTTTCTGATTGTGACCAATCAGGTTTTTTCTGTTTGTTTTTTTTTGTTTCTGTTATTATTTTTTTCTGTTTTTTTTTATTGGTTTTCGTTTTTTTTTTGGGAGGGGGTGGGGGTTTGGGGTATTTCTTTCAATTCTTCCAACAGAGCTTACACCAATTATTTTGTTATACTCTTTTTTGTTTGCGCACTCTTCGTGTTTTTGCTTTTTCGCATTTTCGAGGCAACAAAGCAAAAATACGACAGAAGGAGGGCGAAAATACGACAAATAAAATCTGTCGTATATTCGCATTAATAAATAATAAAATGAGATTTGAAAACAAGTACAGCGGGTAATTCTAAATCAAGCTTCTTAGCATTTCTGATACATAATGAATATACTTTAATAAAACATAATAGTTTACATAGGGATCTATAGCTACCCGCTGAGCTCAATAGTGAGATCATCAAATTAATAATCCATGAGTCGATGGTTTTATCCAGGGGCAAGGTAAGATAAGAACTCGGTCACTTGCGTGTGAAATTGGTACTTACTGATAAGGTATTAGGTGGACTGACCGCCGCCATATGACAATAAATGTGTCCAAGTCAACGATAACAACTACCAACCAAACCAACCCTACATAAAACAATACATCCCTCGACCGTTTTCACTTTTTGTGAAGTTTCTATTATTCTTTATCTTTTTAACTTATCCAGTTCATTCCTCACATCAGTTGAATTGTAAACAATCAGAAGGACTACACAAAGTCTTTCAAAGCCGACAGGAGTGTTCGTTAGAGGTGTTTGAGCACTTATTTGAAGAAAATCCTCAAGTAAACAAAAAATTTGTGGTTTATGTTACTTTACAATCCAACATATATATATTTTATGGATTTCACACATCGAAGCTATTAAGCGCGATTCTTGAATCATTGATGCAAATTTACAGTTTGTCACATCTTGCAAATGGATATAGTCGTAATATTAGACCATGAATTTGATAAATCTACCGCGACTGTCTGAACAATATCGTTTATACCACACATTATAAAGTATAATTTTATGAATTAAATTAATGAATTTTATAACTTTAGTTTACATTATAAAATTAAATTAATACAACAACTTAAAAACAATCCGCGATTGTAAGAAACCTAACAAAGATGTTCATATCAATGTTTGCTTACATAATTATGACTAAATGATGCACAAAACATGAAAAGTTGCATTGTTAGTCCCTACCATTCCTTTGCTGTCTTGATAAAAGACAAAATCCTTATGATTTATAGCCGAAAGTGATTAAATCAACTTATATTTTAATTAATAGCAATTGATTTTGCAGTAATAATGTGCGTGCATCCTATGGATAAATTTGATGATGCTTTCTTAAGATTTGATTGCTCAACACCACGGATCGGTTATATCTACGGCACTTCATGCAATCTGTCATGTAATTCAAACTTGCCACTCAATGGCTCGGATGTCATAACCTGCGAAGACAATGGTAACTTCGAGGGCAATTGGAGTATCTCAGGGGGAGAACCATTTTGTAGAGGTAATTCCTTACTATGTACAGTTTTTCGTTGGAAAGCTTCCTTTATGCAATCATCACTACTCTGAATCATATATCACTATATTTCTGAGTTCATGTTCATTTTCGAAAATTAAAAAAACGACCTTCAATGCATTTTAAAGAACCATTATGTAAATGACTGGGTTAATTCATTTAGAGAAATATGTATCTCATATTTGCAGCCAAGTCAAATGAAGTCAAATTATCTACACTAAGTAAAGTGTAAAGATGACTGACCATTAATTGGTAATTACAAAGGTCTAGGATAAAATAAAACACTGCTCTTTTTATTAATTGAAAAATTCATCAAAATTCCTAACATTAATAGAAATGTCCATGGATCACGTGGGCTTTTAATTAGGTATGCGAAGAAGGTTATATAATTGGAAGCAATTATGGAAAAACTTAAAGATATTTTGATTTTACCTCTTCTTTAAGTTTTAACACTTTGATAAGCATAAAGCCATTTGATGTACAAGATAAAAGTCATTATCCTCGCTCTCGCAGGCCTTTTGCCATGAATGTGTTAATTTTTCTTTCAGAAATATCTTGTCCTGATATGGACCCACCAATTAACGGCGCATTGGTTTATGACACAGTGTTGACACGTCCTATGCGTCAATTGATCTGTAATGAAAAGTACGATATACCACCTATGAGCATACCTTTCAATGGGATTTTTTTCTGTACCGATAATGGGAACTGGGTCCCATTGGAAAAGGTTCCGAATTGTGTCGGTAATAATTATTATCATTAAAAAAAGTTAGATAAGTAACATAAAGTAGATTTATATTTTTGTCACAGTGATCTGTGATGTCAATATCAAACCTTGCTTCTGTTAACTATGAAATGGGCATGAAATAAGCGTAAGCTAATTTTGTAAGCTTTAAATTGATTTGACACTGCATCATGAATTGATGAATGAAAGTTCAAGTGTAAGTTATTTCTTTTGAAAGGTATTTGGAAGTATAAAAAGTACGTTTTTTTGGTCATATATTTACTTTTGTAATGTTTTGTGATGAACTATTTGAACCAGTTATACATTGCAAAAACAGACATCCCTTTTTATGTCATTATTTTGCATACTTCTTTTTAGAGCCAAGAGATCCAAGATTTGTCAACCTACCTGCTGAGATATTTTACTATGGTGGGAAATGCGGAACAGAAGAAACAATGGCGCAAATAAAATCGAATTTCCAAGCTTTAATTCAAACAAATCTTGATCCTTATTTCGGAATAATTTGTCCACCTGGATTAACTTGTATCGCGAGAGATATTGTTATCACATGCGGGCCTATTGAAAGCCGAAAGAAAAGATCTCAGGCATTTGGAGTTCTAAAACGCAATCTACGATCAACAAAATGTAATGGTAAATTCATATATAACACTTTGTGCATGCGCAACTTTAGTTGGTCTTTATTAAATATAGAGCCATAAATTATATAATTCTTGTGAATTGATACAGTAATTGTCTATTGTTTCTTTATTTATGGTACATTCAGTTTCATGATTTCATGATATATAGCATTGAGTACAAAAATAATAAGTTAACAATAAAAATTTATTTCAAGAGGATTAGTCTACTTTTGGCATTTTACAGTAAGTATTTATATTTTGTATTGATATTCAAATGATAAATTATAATATTTTGTTGTCTGCTATATTAATATATGTAATGTTGGATCATGTATTTCACATTTCCCAACATGCGTCTATAACACGTATTTCTTTCGTGGTTTGTTGTTATGTTTGATAGTAATTTTCTAACGTCATTATTTTATATTACAAACCTTGTGTAGTCAAATTTACTTAAAATGTTTAAAAATTGATTTTACACAGTTTTTATTGTCTGTCGTAGCTTAACTTATTGTTTAAAGACACCTTACCTCTAAACTATTGAAAACTTTTAAAACCTTGCCCAAATAAAAACAATAGTCCAAATCATAATTTATCAGACAAAAAATAACGTAAATCATACGAAGGAAATGTATGTGTTCAATAAGTTATTTTTGTTACAAATTGTATTCCCATGTATGTCAACATTTTCAGTACCCTCAAATAATCACATCATTGCGAAGCGGAACGCCAATACACATTCGTTGAGAGTTAAATTTAACATTGTAACGTCAATCAATGAAACCAACACATCATTTCAAGATACAATTAAGTTAATCAATGAGGTTCAACTTCAATTGTTAGTACCAGTAGTAAATGACTTGCTTCAAAATGGAACATTTGACATTGACAACTATGTCCTTCAGTCCGACAATGTATCGACAGCGGATTACGGAACTAAAACATGCGATGATAGCTATGTCCTGTACCAATCAAAATGCAGTAAGTCAAATTGGTTTTGTTTAAACAATATTTATTTCTTCTTTCATATTTACAAACAAAAATTCAATACATAAATTACATCATGGATTGAGTTGAAAAGTTAAAGATAATATGAAACTCTCTCCTGTTAAATGATTTCAACAGTTTATTTTAGTTATACAATATGATTTAGCTTTTGTAATTATAATAAATTGTACCTGCATTTAATTCTTTTCACAAATTTACAATAAGATGATTAATAGCTAAAACGTAATTTGTAAAGGATCATAAAGAGGGACTGAGCATGTCAAATGTGGAAGATGCAATGCCTATGTAAATTTAAATAATTTCTCGACAAATTGGTTGACGTTTTAGTGTGAAACTGCATACTTACAGACTTGCTGTTAAATTTATTTGCTTCAGTATCTAATAATTATATTATTTTCCTTTTTAATTATGATAAATGTACCTTATATCAAAGACAAAATAAAACTAGAAATGTGTGGTCACGCTGTGACCACGGACGCCCCCCCCCCCCCCTGCATGCAGCTAAATTTGAAATAATATTTAGTTCCAAATTTGTCTGCCAATTTTTTTTCAATTAAAGTTCAAAGCCCTTCAACTATATAATGTAAACAAAACCATTTTTATACGAATTCAAGGCCATAAAAGTATTAAGTGTTAACTTTTGCAAATGGCATATTGCATATCTGTAGCCGAGATAATGACTACATACATTTCCACAAAAGTAAGAATGCGGAAACTGAAATTACAAAACAAATTCCAACGTTCAAGAGACATAACTATGTCCAAAATCTTCGAACCATGAACAAATTCAACTTGTGATGTATCTTTATGTCAAATTTGAGTTGAAAGAATACCTGTTCTGGAGATAATGAAATGAAACTAAAAATGTCTTCTTTTTTTCAAAGTTCAAGAGGGATATCTCTGTCAGAAATCATCAAACCATAACAAAATTCGAACAGGAAAAGGTTTTCCTATGACATATCCTTATATCAAATTTGAGTTCATTACTGTTAGGGACATAATGAACGGAAACTATTTTTTTTTCAAAGTGGAAGGGGTGATACTCTACCAAAATCATTGGACCATATCAAAATTCTAACTTGACCTGCACATTTCTTGGACGTAGCAAAATGTCAAATTTGAGTTGAATGTGCATAACTGTGGTGAAGATAAAGTACAGAAACTGAAAATCTCCCTTTCTTTCAAAGTTAAAGGGGCCTAACTCAGCCAAACATCATTAAATCATGACCATATTTCAACTTGACCTGCGGACCTGAATCAAAGCTGATTTTTTTTTAATTTTTTTGCAAAGTAAAGGGGCATAACGCTGTCAAAATACATTGAACCATGATCAAATTCGAAAATGACCTACATATTTCTATGGCATATCCATATCTAAATTTTGAGTTATATATGCATAACTGTTGGGGAGATAATGAACGGAAACTAATTTTTTTCAAAGTGAACGGGGCGATACTCTGACCAAGTCATCGGACCATAACAAAATTCATACTTGACCTGCCCATTTCTTTGATGTATCAAAATGTCAAATTTGAGTTGAATGTGTGTAACTGTTGAGGAGATAATGAAGGGAAACTGAAAATTTCTTCTTTTTTTCAAAGTGAAATGGGTGCAAGTCTGCCAAAAATCACCAAACCAACACAAAATTCGATTTTGACCTGCACATTTTTTGTCGTATCCATATGTTAAATTTGAGTTTAATGTGCATTACTGTTGGGGAGATAATGAACAAAAACTGAAAAATTTCTTATTTTTTCAAGTAAAAGGGGCGTAACTCTGCCAAAAATCATCGAACCATAAAAAATTCAAGCTCAACTTGCGCATTCCTTTGACGTATCAATAAGTCAAAATTTAGTTGAATGGGTGCAACCGTTACTAAGATAATGTGAACGGAAACTGATGATGACGGAAAGAGGGATTGACGGAATGTCGTAACACTATATGCCCCAGCTATTTTATGGCGATGGCATAAAAATCCTGCCATATTGCAAAGTTAAATAGATCAACATAAAACTGGAAAACCATTATTAAAATAACTATGTTGACATTTACAGAGCCCTGTTCAATTGGCTACTTTTTCAATAAAACAAGCAACGCGTGCGACGAGTGTCCGGTTGGGCAGTATAGAGATAACGAGAGCGATATTAACTGTTTGTCTTGTCCAGATAAATATTCTACTCGGTACCCAGGTTCAACATCCAGGAAAGACTGTCTCCGTATGTATATTAGACTAATATTTAAATGTATCATTTTTGCGTACAACTATAATGTTACTTGGAAATATATCTTTTAAACCTTTCTTTGTAATTATTTTATGTAAATCATTAGCTTGATGAATGATACATTCTTCAAATAAATCGTCGACAATGAAAAACATATTATATTATTCCTACGTCTAAACAAATACGAGGGCAGTTCAACAAGGTCATGGACAATCATTTTCAAACAAAAATTTAACGCCCGAGCCTGAAATGAATTTGCGCAAGTGTATCTCCATCAATTTGAAGTAAAATAAAACATAAGCAACTAGCGGATTTCAATAGCAACATTGACTTCCATAGCAACAAGTGACTTTCCATAGCAACTATTAACTTCGATAGCAACCAGAGACTTTCCATAGCAACCATAGACTTCCATAGTAACCAGTGACTTATCATAGCAGCAAGTGAATTAATTAGCAACCATTGACTTTCAATTGTAACCATAGACTTATTGAGCCCCCAGTGATTTTCCATTACATCCAGTGACCTGCCATAGCAACCATTGACTTTCAATAGCAATCATTGGCTTCCAAAGCAAGCAGTAACTTTCCATAGCAAACATTGACTTCCATAACAACTGGTGACTTTCCATAATAACCAATGACTTCCATAGTAACCAGTGACTTATTTTAATAGCCAGTGACTTACAAAGCAACCATTGTCTTTTCATAGCAACCATTATCATTCCATAGCAACCGACGCCTTTTCATGGTAACCATTGGCTTTCAATAGCAACCAGTAACCAATATTGCAACCATTGACTATAGCAACCTTTACTTTCAATAGTAACCATTTACTTTCCTGTGCAACCACTTACTTTGAAGCAACCAAGGATTATTCATAACAACCATTGACTTTCCTCAGCAACCATTAACTTCTAAATCAACCTGTGACTTTACATATCAACCATAGTCTTCCATGGCAATCAGTGACTTTCCAAAGCAACCACTAACTTTCCCCAACAACTCGTTACTTGCAATATCAAACATTGACATCCATACGAACCAGTTACTTTCCATAGCAACTATTGCCTTCCATAGTCACCACTAGCATTACATAGCAACTTGTGACTTTCCATGGCAATCAGTTTGCTATGGAAGTCGATGATAGCTGTAGGAAGTCACCAGTTTCTATGGAAGTCAATGGTTGCTATGGTAAACAATGGTTCCTGTGTAAAGTCAGTGGTTGCAATTGAAAGTCAATGGTTGCTATGAAAATCACTGGTTGCTTCGAGAAATTACTGGTTACTATGGAAATCTATGGGTGCTATGGAAAGTCACTGGTTGCTTTCGAAGTCTATTGCTGCTTAAGAAAGTTACTGGTTGCTATGGAAAGAGAATGGTTTGCTATGGAAAATAAATGGTTGCAATATTGGTAACTATTTGTTGTTGAAAGTTACTGGTTTCTATGGCAAGTTAAAAGTTGCTTTGAGAATCACTAATTGATATTTGAAGTAACGGTTTGCTATGAAAGTCAATGATTGCTGTAGAAAGTCAACTGTTGCTTTGGAAGTTTATGGCTGTTATAGAAATTCAGTGGTTGTTTTGAGTGCAAGTGGTATCTATGGAAAGCCAATGGTCACAATAGAAGTCACTTGTGGCTATGACAAACAATGGTTGCTATGGAAATCATTGGTTGATATGGAAGTTTAACTGTTGCTGTGAAATGTCTCTGGCTACTTTGGAAGTAAATGATAAACATGAAACATCACTGGTTGCTTTGTAAATCACTGGTTACTATGGGAAGTCACTCGTTGGCATTGAAGAATATGGTTGCTTTGGAAAGACAATGGTTCTCATGGAAAGTTAATGGTTCTGATGGAAAGTCAATGGTTGCTATGAAAAGTCAATGGTAGGCAGCCAAGAGGGTCACTTATTGCTATTTAAAGTCACGTCATGCTCTGGAAGCAAATGTTTTCTTGAGAAAGTCAGCTGTTGCTATGAAAGTCAATGATTACTATGGAAAATCAATAGCTGCTATGGAAGGCAATGATTGCTAAGGAAAGTCACTAGTTGCTATGGAACGTAAGTGGTCGTTATGGAAGGCAATTGTTCCTATTAAAAGTGCATGGTTGCCATGGAAGTGAAGGAATGTCATTAGTTGTTGTGGAAAATACGTTGTTGCTATGGAAGTATAAGGTTGCTACTGAAAGTCATTGGTTGATATGGAAAGTCAATGGTTGCTTTAGAAATCTAAAGTTGCTAAGGAAAGTCAGTGGTGGCTATGGAAGTAAATGCTTGCAATGGAAGTCAATAATTGCTATGGAAATTCTATGATTGCAATATTGGTTACTGGCTTGCAATTAAAAGTCAATGGTTGTAATGAAAGGCAATGATTGCTATGGAAAGATAATGGTTGCTATGAGTAACTAATTGCTACTTAAAGACACTGTTTGCTATTGAAGTCAATGATTGCTGTAGAAAGTCACTAGTTGCTCTTAAAGTCACTGGTTGCTATGGAAATTCAGTGGTTGCTAAGGAAGTCAATTGATGCTATTGAAAGTCAGTGGTATTACATGAGAAATCGCTGGTTGCTATGGAAAGGCATTGGATGTTATACATATCAATGGGTGCTCAAAAAGTTTATGGTTGCAATTAAAGTTTAATAGTTTAAGTAAGTCACTGGTTGCTATGAGAAGTCATTGGTAATTATGGAAGTCTTTGGTTGCTATGGAAAGTCAATAGTTGCTATGGAAGTCTATGGTTGCTAATAGTGTATTTGGTTGTTATGGGAAGTCACTGGCTGCCATGGAAGACTCTGGTTGCTAAGGAAATTAAATGGTTGCTTTGGAAGTGAATAGTTGCCATGGAAAAGCATTGGTTGCTATGAAATGTCACTGGAAGCTGAAGAGGTCTAGAGTTGCCATTTCAATAGTCAATATTTCATATGTAATCCACTTGTTCCTATGTAAGTCATTGGTTGCTTTGGAAAGTCAGTGGTTGTTATGGTCAGTAAATGGAAAGCCACTAGTAACCATGGAAGTCTATTGTTGCTATGGTAAGTTACTTGTCACTGTTGAGGTTACTGCATGCTATGAATTAACCATGAAATAATGAATGCTATGGAAAGTCAGTCACTGGTTGCTATTTATTATTTTAAGTAAGCGTTTTTTTAAAATAAAACTTTTGTATTTAAAGCCACCGTTTCAGTGGTTGTTATAAAGAATTAATGGCTGCAATTAAAAGTCAATTCCTGCTATGTGAGTCACTGGTTGCTATAGAAGGTCACTGGTTCCTATGGGGAAAATTAGTGATTGCTATCAAAGTCAATGGCGGCTATGTTATTCAAAGGTTGCTATGGAAAGTCAATGGTTTCCAATATTGCTTACTGGTTGATATTATAAGTCAATGGTTGCCACCATTGAAAGGCACTGGTTACTATGGAAATAGAATAGTTGCTATGAAAGAAAATAATTGGAATTTGAAGTCAGTGTGTGCCATGGTAGCGATGATTGCTGTAAAAATAACTGGTTGCTATGGTAATCTACCTTATTGGTTGCTATTAAATGTCAGTGGTTGCAAAAGAAGTCGCTGGTTGCTAATGAAAATCAATGGTTATGGCAAGTCACTGGATGTTAACGGAAATCACTCGGTTCGAAAGAACTATATTGTTTTAATTGAAAAAAATGGTTGCTATGTAAGTCAGAGGTTGCTATATGATGTCACTGGTTACGATGGAAGTCTATTTTTTCTATACGCAATGTAAGGCCCTGGTTGCTGTGAAAAGTCAATGGTTGCAATAATGGTTACAAATAGCTTTAATAATGCCATGATTGAAAGGCATTGGTTACTGTGGAATAACAATGGTTGCTACGAAAGTCACTAATTGTTATTTGATATCACTGTGTGCTATGTATGTCAAGGATTGCTGTAGAAAAGCACTGGTTTGCTAATTGTTGCTTTGGAAAGTCACTGGTTGCAAAAGAAGTCACTGGTTGGTATTGAAAGTCAATGGTCGTTATGGCAAGTCCCTTGATGTTATTGGTAATCGCTGGGTACTTACGAAGTCTATGGTTTCAATTGAAAGTAATGGTTGCTATGTAAGTCACTGGTTGTTATACGAAGTCACTGGTTACTATGGAAGTCTAGTTTTGCTATGGGAAGTCATTTTTTGCTATCCAAGTCAATGTTCGCAATGAAAAGTCATTAATTGCTTTGGAAGTCAAAGTTTGCTTTGGAAAGTCAATGGTTGTGACATTGCAACAATAGTATTCCATGGCAACCAGTGACTTTCCATTAATTAGCAACCGTTGACATTCCATGACATCCATGGACTTCCTATAGCAACCAGTGACTACCCATAGAAACCGATGACTTACATTTTCCATGACAACCATTGATCTTTTTTAGCAACCATTGTCTTTCCATAGAACCAAGTCCCTTTCCATGACAACCATTGATTTTCCATACCAACCAGTGATTTCCAAAAGCAACTATTGACTCATATAGCAACCACTGACTTTCCAAAGTAACCATAGATTTTTTTTAACACTAAATGACTTGCTATAGGAACCAGTGACCATAGCAACCATAAATTTTTAATAGCAACCAGCGCCTTTGGGTGGAAATTTTTGACTTTCCATAGCAACCAGTAACCAATATAGCAACCTTTGCCTGGGTGACACACCTATGAACTAAATCAATTTTAGCTTTTGTAGTTCTGATAAGATATGTTATCGTAGGATATTCGTTAAGATACTTGAACTTTTCCTAATTGACACGCAAATGTACTAATACAGCTGTCAAATCGGTTATATCTGTATCATGTCATGTTATCCAAGAAATTACTAGTACACACTTGTTATTTACACATATTGAAAACAATGGTTCGTTTAAATTATGTTCTATGACTGTTGCTGGACTGAACTAATCTGATCTTTACAGAACAGTGTCTAGAACCCGTCAAAATAAATAGTCAAATGAAATGTACTTCAAATGTCCAATGAATTTTGTTCTTAAAAAGCAATTAAGGTATCTAATTTGCAGAACTATGTATGCCGGGAGCCTACTCTCCAGATACGTTCGAGACTTGCTCTTCGTGCAGACATGGTTACTATCAAGACGGGTATGGGCAGACGACATGCAAACAATGTCCTGATGGAACAACAACAGTATCAACTAACAGCAGCTCCAGGAGCGATTGCAAAAGTAACTCGCCGTTTATTTGTTATCAATTACCTTATGTTTTAGAATCAATAAGTTAGGTGTTTTGATTTAATTCATTCAACCTTTTATTTCTTTCATCAAAACAACATCAATTATCTAAAACCCTGACACTGGAAAAGCTATAAAACCCACATATCCTTTTTAGTAATACTAATATGTGAATATATTATACTTTTTCTCACAACAATTCATTTCTTAAGAATATAACATCTGAAATATATTATAATTTCATTCCATTACTTTTATAATTAACAGTTACAAATAGCTGCACATAATTTGACCGCCTTAACAAGTATATCATAAGGTAACACGCATGTAGAAAATGAAAAAAATCATTTATAGTGCAAAATGTTTTCACCGACGGGGAAACTTAGACGACAATCTGTTTATCCTATATAAATGCACTTGAAGAATATTGAAAAAATCCTTGCAGAATGTAAACTCCAAATTCACCGTGGGGAAAATTCATCAAAATGAGTAATAATTAGCAATGATATGTATATTGTTTAAAGGATGCACCTAAATTACTTAATGAAACATATACATGTGAATATCGCAATGTCTTTTCGCAAATATGACTTGAGTAAAGTCCTTTCTTTTAAATAATTGTTTCTTTTCCTTTGACCATATGCTTTAAGTGTAGTACTTCGATTCTAACTAAAAGACAATGTGTTTGTAATGAAATAATAGGCATATGAAACGAGCGTCATTTTTCAGATTTTGACGTTTTCCTCAAAATAACAAATGGCGATGTTGCAGTAGCAGAATTGTCTGAAACACTGACCAATTTTACATTCATGTTTTGGACAACGAATGTCGACAGACAAACCTCAAATGCTTCAATGACAATAACAAGTGGTGGTTTGACTCTAATCAACGTTCTTTGGAATAATTATTTACGAGTTCAGATCAAGTAAGTCTTATTTCGTCTTTACGAGTTGCTCAATTCTTGTATGTTGACTTCTTTTCTAAAAACAAACATACTTATAATGCCTAGGTAACTGTTTTGCCAGTTTTAAAGATAGTAATTTCATTTTTCAGATCATTGTTAAATGAAACTATTGCCACCCATAACAGTAGTAAATGGAGTCACATTGCAATTTCGTGGGATACATCAAACTCCCAAGTAAGGTTATATTGTAATGGAAAACTTGTAAAATCTTCAACGTTGAACGCTTCTTCAATATCTTCATTAAACCAAACTAGCACATTGACAGTGACCTCCAACGGCAAAACAGGTAAACTTCGATTTTGATTCCAATCGTCAAATCTTTGTATTTGTTATTCAGAATTATTACTTGAATTTCAGTTTTAGTTTATGATGTTATACATCTTACAATTGTCTCATTTTTAAGGTATTTTATTGACTGGGTTGCATCTGATAAAAGGTGTGTTACCAGAAACTGCAATAGCATACCAAGGAAAGTCTTGTCATACGTTGGAAACAAATGATCTTATCAATGAAGGATCTTTTGTCGGTATTGCCAGCCCGGGGATATCTCTAGTTGTTGAATCAAGTTGCTATGGTAATACATTTTATCTACAATCAAGTGTGTCTGTGTTTAAACTGGTTTTCTATTGTTTATATGAAATGTGAATTTGTACGTCCATATACTGTATTCCTAGAAAAGATTTCGCGCATTTTAAGTTAGCGCTTTTCGCGGTTGGCATAATTTCGCGAATCTTTATAGCCGCGAATATGTCACCTATAACAAATCTGCGAACATTTCTAGCTTCAACCAAATAAAAATATAAACATACAGAATATTTATTATAATCTTCTTACACAAAAATCATTTAAACACAGGTCTGTAAAAAGTGATGTATGCATGTTATAGATACCTGTTTGGACCCTGTAAAAATGCCAATTATTAGTAATTATCCCTATTGACGTTATTCGTTAGTCACGGCGTATGCAAATTCATTTACAGTTTTCGTTCTTTGAATGACTAGGATTTTGTTTGCTTGGAGTACGTGTAATCCTTTGTTAAAAGTACAATAGCGATCAAGTGCTACATGATAAACAGCTGTGATGTTGTTATAATGAAAGCGATGTACAGTCCGATACTCTGTAAAAAAAGTAGGTATCGACGTTTTGAAGATAAAATCAGTTAATTATGATTCAAATGAGAATAAAAGCTAACTAAATTTTACTTAATCACAAAGTGAAGAAGGTACTAGGGAAATAAGTAAAAAAAATGTTCACGGAACAACCGTCCGTGTTCGACTAGTCAATAGATGAAAAGGTATCGAATAACGTAGCCCTTTGGGCGCAACTTTAATGTCAAAGAGATAACAGAATTAAAAGTACCCAACAGGCAAGGTCATGCATCAAAATCTTAGCCTCCATTAACTGTTATTATGGCCGTAGCGACTTAATATTCGCGGAATTCGCGGTTAATACACATCAGCGAAAGTTTGTCTCCGCGAAAATGTCGACGTAGTGAAAAACGTGAAATATTGTATCCACGAACATTTCTAGGAATACAGTTCATGTATAATTAAAGTAAGTTTTAAATCAATATTCAGTTAAAATAGTTATAAGTTATTTAGTGATTATAATTTGCAGTCTAACATAATTATTATCAGCATGCCTGCACAAAGAATCACTTTGATTGGTGTTTCTGATTTTTTTTTTTTTTGTTTTTTTTTTGTTAATTATATAAATACTCGTTAAACGTAACAAAATTAGGCGATTTTTGTAAAATATGACACTATACAATATTTTGTCTAATATCAGCCCTTCGTTATCAGTAAAGATTTCAATGAACACTTATGGAAACAGATGAAATCCTAGTAAATATATGCATATTACGGATTTTATCATCTAGCTGAGACACGAATGTATTTTTGTAGCATATGACGAATGCCTTTTGTCCCCATGCAACGGACATATCTGCACAAATGGACTTAGCGGATATACATGTACGTGTCAGAGAGGTTGGTCTGGAACCAATTGTACGACACCACCAGATTTTTGTATCGAAAACGCGTGCCAAAACGCTGCCACGTGTGTGAGCGCAAGCACAAATTACACATGCAATTGTGTTCCAGGATACAGTGGACATATTTGCGAAATTTCTCCAGGTAAATTCATTACTGAAAATTTGAAAACAAACAAACTTACCTTTGTATACACCCTAACGTCAATGTTCAATGTCATAATAACCTTGAAAATCATACTCGCGAAAGATAAAGTTTTTTGTTGTTTTATTTAAACGCACATGTTTTCTTTTTATAGTGTCTACATTTACGAGCATGAACATCTATTAAATTCTGATAATGATGGAAAGAAATGATATCTTCGGTAATCCTACCTTATTAACATTGTGTTTTACAGTAAACGGTGGCTGGTCTGATTGGTCAGAATCCGTGTGTTCTAAGACATGTGGAAGTGGCATAATATACAGAACACGACAATGTGATAGCCCTACACCTGATGTATATGGTGTTGATTGTGTTGGAGCTGCAATAGAAATAAAATCATGTAACACACAACCTTGTCCAGGTAAGCATAACTTTTCAACAAAGAATGAATTTAACTTTTAAATATTTCTTTTAGATACTTCAATTGTTTTTTGTTTTTTTTTTTTTTTTCAACTTTATAATTAACATATATAACATCAAATGGTATAAAATAAATGTACAGGTGAAAGTCAAAATAAGTTCACATTTTGCCATAAATCCTTTCAATTTTATAATATATATCGCATAAACAATAAGTAACTCTAATGGCCCACAGAAATTGTGTACATATCCTTCAGAATTTAACTGACTGATCATTATAACAGTCAAATTTTGAAATATATAGTCAATACAGCTAAACTTGACTTGAAAAAGAAAACAAAATGTCATTTTAATGTTCGATTTTTTCTAGAATATGTTCTGGTCATAAAATATCTAAGTTATTAGTGTAAAGACAAAGTATTTGGTACAATGTTGTGGATAACACGAGCTCAGGTCAATATTGTTTTATTGATTTGTTTTTTTCTTTGTTCTTCGTTTTTTAAGACAGGACATCGAGATAGATTGTTATTTTGTTTGTACGACATATCATGCCCTCCGAGCAGGAACAATATTCAAGTCCTTCTGTTTAACTACTCGTACAATGAGGTAGCTGAAGTGATTGTATACTCTTTAGTGAACTCATTCTCATGCATTTGGATATATAATACTTTATTCCAAACATGTTTCCAATTAAAATGTCTCTCAACTATGCACAATGACATTTAATATCTAATGACAGTTTTGATGTTTTTATTCAATTTACAGTTTGCAAAGAGTTCAATACAGCACTGGGAACTGTACTTAAATGTTCTACCGACGACGAAACCGGAAGTAAAACTTGTACAATGGAATGTGAAGATGGTAAAATTCTTCCGCCCGGATTGACAGACCTGCATTCGTTCACCTGTGGTCCAAGCACCAACTATGAATGGGACAACTTTGAAAATCCTCCCAGCTGTGTCGGTAGGTCGCTTATTTTACAAAACAATATTTTCTTTAAAAAAACATTAATGTTGAAATAAAATCATATATGCAAATAATTTGTGGGTGACATCTTAAAGCATTTGAAAAAATAACTTTACAGGGTCACACAATTGCAACATTTAAGTATAAGATACATCTTTGATAAAGCAAGTCGTGTATATTTTTCTCCAGATCCTAAAAGCCCGGAAAATATTCATATTACTGTGAATGTGACATACACAACGGAGATTGGAGAAAACGCTATATCCGAATTCAAGGATCATATCAATGACAAAATATCACAAGTACCATGTTTTGACTCGGCTAACTGTGAGACAGACATAGACATTAACCAGTCGATTATGACGATTTGGTTCAGTATAAATACAACAGGAGGTCAAGACCTTCAGTATAATGATTTTATTTCAACAGGAGAATGTAAGTGTTCAGAAATTGCTACGTTTTATATTACATGTTAACATTCACTGTCGATTTACATTATATAAAAAAGCAAACAACATGAAATTTAATGTTTTTTCAAATGTTTCATCAGTTAATATGAAAGAGTCTTATTTTTATATATTATACAAGGCATTATAATTATGCAAATAAACATCTCTAATTTTGAATGGATTTAACACTTTATATATAAATGCAGCTATATAATCGATTAAAATTACCCATTGTTGGAAATAACTTTAAGCAATGAGAACAAATTTGGGCAAGTTTATCACTTTCTCTGTATCTAAGGTAACAGCTATCTGTGAGTATTGGGTTTCACACAATTTTCTTGGATGTTTTCGCCAATATTGGCTATATATTTCTCTAATGAATTATATATGTTATTGTTTCAAACAGCAAATGATTTCCTACAAGAAGTAATTGACGCAGTAAACTCTCTTGAACAAACTGGTAGGTATATTCAAAATCACACAGACGAGCTGTTTGACGTCACGGTCAATAATACGAGGTACACCATTGCGGATGAGAATCCAATAATTTACGCTGGTGTCTCATGCACTGTTGGATTTGTGGCTATCGATGGAATATGTGGTATGAATAAATATCAAATTTGTCCATTTCATTCTTTGCAGAACACAGATTATGATGTTATGCAGAATACAGAGTTTTATGTTACTTTTATCTCCTATGTAGTAAACAAACAACAAAATTATATTTATTTGCATTTTTGCAAAGAACGATCAATTTTCATACAATTAATCAATGCATACGTACATGTCAACTGAATCTTAAATGTTGATGATAGAAGTGTATAACCTATCCATATGTAGCCATATTGCATTAACGATATTTTGTATTTCAATGATTTTATTATTTTGTGGAACTCTTGAATTATATGTACTGACATGTGATAACTTAATTGTGTTACCATAAAAATAATTTATTGTTATAGAGGTTTGTTCTAATAACATGTGTTTTTTAGTTTCTGTTTAGAAGAACTGTTGATACATTCATTGCAGTTGAATGTCCTGCAGGTACGTTTTATTCCGGTGAAAAGTGTTCGTTTTGTCAACGGGGGAAATACCAACCAAAAACGGGACAGTCGACATGCATTCCATGCCCCCCTTTTCGGACAACGGATGCAATAGGATCAACTGATAGTTCTCAGTGCAAATGTAAATTTAGCATTAACATCAAGCCCTGATTGATTTTAAATTTTTAGGTTTTCTCAATTATTATTATTTCAATTTATTTCCTTAACATTTTTTTACTTTTCAAGCTTAAAACGTTTATAATATAGTTATTAGCCCTATTGAAATGCATATTTCAAAACAAGAACATACAGGATGGGTTTTTTTCCTCCAACAGTTTATCATTTTTCTACCTTTTTCGGGACACATTCTGTAACGTTTTTAGAGTATCCGGACTCCAAATGACATCCCTAGTTTATACCTAATCCAATGCAAAATAAAAACTGATTACTGGCGAATAGCACTAGAGAAGGGTTCTGCAGAAAGCATTTTCTAGGACAACCAGCAAGTATTTTCTAGGGCAATTGAAATTGAAAGAAGATTTAGGGACTCGGGTGAGGCTAAAAATGTGGATGGTTAACCCAAAACGTTTTCAGGGCCCTTGTCGTGTAACAATGTATGATAATGATTCAGTTAAAAAGGAACAATTACAAAAAAAAAAATTGTCTGTTTTGGTAAATGAAATAGTAAGCACGATCCATTTTTACATATATTTTTAATAAATTTGATTATTTTTTAAGCATATGACGCATGTTTGATGTCTCCATGTAACGGGCATGTTTGTACAAATAGACAAGACGGCTATACATGTACATGTGACAATGGCTGGTCTGGAACAAACTGTGACACACCGCCTGATCGTTGTATTAACAATGCTTGTGTAAATGGTGCAACATGTATAAGTCTGTCAACAAATTACATGTGTGAATGCACACCTGGTTACAGCGGACAGTTTTGTGAAATTTCTCCAAGTATTTGTACGAATATAAAATGAGTTGTTTACTCCTACTACATAGTTCTGTAAACTAGTCCTCCTTTTTGTTTTAGAAATTTAAGTGTTTTGTTCTCCCAAGAAGTGTTTTATTCGCATTTTTTCAAGAATTGATATCAGTCGCTCTAAAGATAGAATTCGTCAAAGTTACAAAGGATTTCGAGTAAATGAAATTCATTTTAATAATGACATCATAAAGAGTTTTTCCTACTTTATCTGTACAGTTAATAACTAAAGATTTATCAATTTCACAAATCTTCTTTTTAAGTACTGTTTCAAATAACAGAGATGAAAAGTGAAAAAGGAAATCTATATTTTACTTTACTATCGTTCTAGGAAGTGTTTGTTTAAGAATGTTTTATGCGTAAATTATGCAAAGTTTGGTGAAAATCGCACGGTAAACGTTAAAATGCGACGTCATTATTAACCAGAGACTATTTGTAAAAATGAACAAAAGTGGGCCGGTAATCGCTACATGTGGTCACCATAACGACCGTTTGTTAACATATGATTCATGCCAGAACGGCAATATTTGCTGTATATTTTCAAAATATGTCTGTCTCTATTACTGTATAAGTTTTATTCATCTAACTTGGAAAATAAGGAAATAGCGACACTTTTCCGCGCATTTATTAAACAGCCCTCGTACATATAATATCAGTGTTTTCTTATTTGTAAGAATAAGTAAAAGATTTCATATATTGTTATGAAATCAATGTATCTCCATAGCTTAACTTTTTATATTTAGAACAACTTTAAATAATATCTTTATTTTACTAGGCCTGAGAATATTGAACATCTAATCATACTTTTCTGCCGTTTTTTCAATATTCAAAATGTCTGCAGACCGTCATTCTAAAACGATATAAAAATGGAAGCAATATTTGAATAAAAAATACACTTAAGCAATTTTAAGAAATTAAAATGAAGTGTCTTTAAATCTCGAGGAGATGTGTGCACTGGAATGGTATTTCATAAACTATGCATTATAAAAACAGCTGAAATACAAATAGGAAATGGCGGTCTTAGTTGTTTTAGTGTTTTGATTATAAATGACTATTGGTTGTTTGTAGTTAATGGAGGTTGGTCAGAATGGTCAGAAACAAAATGTTCCAAAACTTGTGGAACGGGTGTTATAACAAGAACACGAAAATGCGACAACCCTGTCCCAGACACAAATGGTGCTGACTGTGTGGGTGAAGCAATGGAGACAATCACTTGTAATACTCAAGACTGCATAGGTAGGAATCAAAGAGTAGTATTTCGTAGGCTAAGAGTTGTTAAACAGCTTATAATTTTATACATCACATATACTCTCTATAAGTTCGAATATGAGATATTATGTATATTTTATTTCATCTAGAAATGACCGATAATCTTATTTGATATATCGTATGTTATTAGTATCTTAACATATAATCGTATTTAATATATCGTATGTTATTAGTATCTTAACATATTTTTCCACAGAACTTGGTGTATGCTGCCAGACGCTATAAAATAATGAAATCATAACGAATATAAATATAAATTCTAAAAATATATATATAACAAGCACAGTTTTAACTTTCATTGCGATGAATATATAAACTGTTTGAAGATAATAACATGATAGCTAATGGCGTCGCACATAATTGGCAAATGTACGCCTCTCTAACTAGTTGTTAGGTGCATTATTTTTTTCTGTATTCAGTACCTAGTTATGTACGTTGTTATCTGTAGAAACATTTAATAATACGTTATGCGAAAGTGCATAATTTTATTTCAATTCGTTTTCATAGCATTTGTTTATTGTTCTAAACATTACGAAAAAACACGATTGGTTTGATATTGTAATAATCTCTATTACAGTATCAAAAATAGTATATTTTTCTCTTTTGCTCTCTACACAGACAGTTTTGGCTCATTCGATACAACTTTCAAACTGTTTTCTTGTTTTATGGCATACCAAAATCAAATAAGATATGTAGAATTAGATATGTAGATACATGAGTCAGTTATTAGAAAATATACAATCATAGGTCTAGTAAAAGTAAAAGGTTTCAATGTCATAAATAATTTTCATAGATTTTAACAGCAAGTAATTTTAACATGAGAACAAATTAGTGGGTAAGGTAAAGAAATAACATGTTTTTTAACATGTATCATTAGCTTACTTGAAACAAATGAATATACCGATATGATTATGTGACCAGTGAAGACTAAGATTAGCATGTACGTCCGTCCCGAATGATCATGGTTTATGTTGTTCGTCATTTTTCAGCAAGTTCTGTTGAAGGTTCCAAAAAAAAAGGATAGATTGTCTCGTCCAAAGTGAAGGATGGATAAGTCCATTTCAGATACTTTAGCGGTGAAAGGGTTAACATACATACATACATACATACATACATACATACATACATGCATGCATGCATACATACATACATACATACATACATACATACATACATACATACATACATACATACATACATACATATATACACTATACTTTATGTTTTCAAAACTAATCGGAAACTTTGTATTTAATATTCTACATAGAAACAAGCACGGTGTCCAACACGACGAAGCAAACAACAACACAAAGAGAAGGAAAGCCTGCTCCAGGTAATCATGTGTCTGGTCCTTTATGTATTCTTTGTGTTTGTATTGCTGGTGTTTTTAAAACAGTTAGAGACTTCAAACGTGCACGCTTAATAAAGAGACTTCTTGCATTATCAAATAATTTATGATTGGAACATGTCATCTTGTATTATATGTCATCACAATTTTTGTGACAAAAAACAACGTTTATTCATATATAATTTTAATAAAAGTAATATAAAAATAGTAAATGAGTAATGAATTATTCCTTATGTTCCTAATTTATTTACTGGTCTGTCTTTACCTTTTTTGTTTTCATATTGATCAGCGTTACTATGCCATATAACATTTGCTAGAATGTTGTAGATCATCCTAATATTGGCATATTATTGACACATGAACTGTTTTCCAATTTTTAGACACATAAGAATAAATAGCTCGATGACAGTTAAAATAGATACTGATCCATCGAAAGTTATGAAAACGAAAAATTTGAAAATTACAAACTAAGTCTGAATGTGTCTGGTCATGGAAGATAATGTAAAGGGCTATTACATGTATTAAGCGTTGTTTCATCTTTAACACAAACACTCGGGAAAAAATATTGAAATGCAATGAACGATTAAACAGAATTTTTAAATGTAGGATTTTATAAAGCTTTATCGACGAATATTGCCGTAATTGGCATTCTATAGGAATTCCGTTCTTTTTTTTGTAGTTGATGAGAAGACAGTGACGTTATTAGTTGTAGGACCTGTGGTTGCTATAATTGTAATTGCTCTGTCTGTAACTCTCGTACTTTGCAGGCGGTTTCGGTAAGAACTACGTTTTCTTTTTTTTCTTGTGACCTTTTTTCCTTTTCGTAGGGTGCAGGGCAATTGAAAGATATGAACATTTGTCATTATTTGTTATGAGAGGAGTTAATGTATTCATTTATTCATTTAATTGTGTCATTTGTGTTCTTTAAAGCAAACTAGAATACTATAGTCTGCCAACTTTTATGCAAAAACTTAAAATGTTCAAATAAAGCTTTTGTAAGAAGGAACTGTACCACATTGCCCGGACCCATGTCATTCTGAATCACTACTTCACCCTATCGTCTGCTAAAACTTTATTTTTAGGTACAATTGATATCCCTACTCTGACCTTTTAGTTTAATAACAACAGATCTAAACACAAACATCGATATGTACTCTTTTGTTAACAAATACGTTGTGATAAAATTGTTATTGAAATGGTAATTTAAATTTAGTGTAAAATAGGAATATGTTCATGACAGTAACAGGTATTTTTATCTTTCAGACATAACACACGACAGGAAAAATCAAATGAATTTCCTCAAAATGATTTTTTGTCGTCGTCACTTTCCAAAGATTCAGATATTGGAAAAGGCTCTGAAGAATTTATTGATATCAATGAGGATCTGACTAAATGTTCCAATATTTAGTACAATTGCATTTATAAAATGCGGCATTGCTGTTAATATCACATTTCTAACAACAAATCTATATTTCTATAGACATATAGAATGTAAGGTTTCATATAACTGTATATAATTTAAAACATAAGCTATTGGCTGACTTAAAACCACATTATAAACTTTGTTGTGATGATTATTGTTATATTCGTTATTATCTTTAGTATTGTAAATATATTGTTTATATATATAGTTGTATATATTATGCAATATATTGTATTTTGAAAGAAGGCATAAGGAAGTACTTGAAAAATTAAAAATGGAAAAATCACTGAATTTTCGTTAACGAGATTTAATTTGCAGGACTCAGTCGTTTAAATGAACATTTACAGCAGTTGGATAGTTTGTTAGGAAACACTGTATTCTGTTTTTATACAATTTATTATCGTTTAATATGAACTCCGTCAAATACACGCTTTATTTACGCTTGAATTATATTCAATCATGTACAATAATTATGTTTGGTTGTATATTTATACAAAAGAATTGTTTGGTACATATAACGCCCTTGCACATCATACAAATTCTATTTTAGAAATTTTGTAAATACTCTTTTTGAAAAGAGAATGACTATTCATATCTGATCATTTATATTTTTTTTATTTTATTTTCAATTTTTAATATTTTTAATTGTTCATTGAAATTCATTCAATATAATACATAGTAAATTTACTACATGTATGTGAAATAAGAAAATAGTTATTGTTGGAATTCTTGCAATGAACGTATAACATATAAGATATAATTCAGAATTTTTTACGAGCAAAACTTGACAATCTTATAAGCTAGGTCCCGAAATATATTGAATAACTCAAATATGGTTATTCCGCACGTGACTTGGACATTTGAAGAATGACATCGCAGAGTACACAGATAACATCCACAATGCAACGTTTGTTTATGGGTACAAGGGAAATTATCTTTGTTCAAATATTGCGTCATTTCATCTCTTGATACAATTATATCTTTATAAATTTTGCCAATATACTTATTTATTTCTCGTTTCTTTTTAAATCTGTCATTTGTTTTGCACTATATACTGGAATTGTGAAAGGGAAGAACTTTTACAAATGTGAATTGCAACCCATTTTTTTCAATTGCTGGCGTTTGGAGACATTATGACACACTTACATGGGCGACGAACAAATGGTTTTAGTACTTTCAGAAAAATGTTTGACTAATAGTCAAACTGATATAGCAAAACATTACCAGTTAACATATATGATTGTTTATAAACAGTGGAACAATTATTGGTCGGACAGCTATGCATTTATTTAAACAACTTCCTCAAATATTGTGAAAATTTATGTAATTTTGAGCAATTGGTCAAATTTGTACCTTCATTTATTGTGATGCAAAAGCAGTTTGCCAAAATCAATGCAGTTTTATTTTGCTGGTGTACATTGACTGGAACAGCTTCAATCGATCACAGAGTTTAAATATTGTCATAATGTTTAGATAAAAGTATAAATACTTACCTTTTTATTATAACAATTTTAACTGTTCTTGACCTTCGAACCTGGCATTATCATCTGATGCTCTTCATATATATATCGTCAATATAACAGTTATAAATCGTATTGATGTGTTCAATTCTTAGGGATAACAACTAAGTTGGCTGATTTTTAAGTGTTTACGCACCAACACAGTAGAAGTCAGATGAGGACTTTCCAGCTAAAGTTGTGGAATAGTTCTCCTCCTTGTCTTATTTTTGACACGGGCGGACACCATCTGAATAGAACCACCGACATTCAGTAAACTAGCTGAATAAAGGCAAGCAAATCTACAAGAATGTTTTAAAGTCTTGCATAGAACGGCTTATTGCTAGGAACTTATTGTTGAAATAATCTGTAATATTTTCGTGAATGGAATATTTAGCTCATAGATGACAATAACGTAAGACCCTGAGACTCAAAGCACTTTCTTAGTACTTAATAAATTGGACCAGTAATACAAGCATTGATCCATAGAACAATATCGTTGAAAAGCTTTGTCATTGTCTTCCTTCATGTATTGGAATACACGCCTCCTAGCAACATTCGCTGTTAAGCTATCCAAATCAATGTAAATAGTTCGAGTTCATATCGTATTCTGGCTGCCGCTGACGCAATTTTGTGCCGATAATTTTTCTTCAGTCTCGTCATCATAAATGACTGTTATGTTTTGTTGTCATCTGAGTCGTTTCCTTGGTCGTGATAATTACAGACATATTCGAATCACTTATGGTATCATATTTATTTGTATCCGTGTCCGTGGTTTTGTATGTCTCAACACATGTTCCTGTTTTGTGATTTATAAACGTGAACATGTTTTCTAGGAATGAACAGCTTTTGTTATTTTTATTCGTTCCGCAACATTTAAGTGAAGAACTTTCCCTCACACCCCTTTCGTAGGAGACACATAGACGATCCTCCTCGCACCACAAAAAGGCTAGAAATCGCTTGTCAAATTCACCGCTGATTAAGCTACAGCTAGCAAGACATTCTTTAAAAAAACACGTTTAAGATGAATAACTCACATGAGGTTGAAAATTAAACTTTAAACGGATTCCCCCTCTTACATGTTCATCAATTACTGGGACTGCTGATTTCACCTCAATGTATGGGTTTCCCGAGGGGATTCCATCGTTAAGGTTGTCGACTTCAAATCAATTGTACCTAAACACTGACGGATACATTAAACGTACTTTTAGTTTTGTTTATATTGGCCTTTTTTTGCCACATGTGTGAAACGAATGAAAGAAATCCACCCATCTTTCCGCTTTTAAGATACAAGTAAACAAGTGCGTAGGTGTATGGCGCTTCTTTTAGAACTTCCAATAAAACATGAAACAAAACTCAACAAGGAAGGACGTTTTATTCTGTGATATTAATTTCAACGTAGGAGGTAGTGCAGATTCATTAAACTGTTATTCACCTGCATATGTTAATAAAAAAACCCATACCCGTTTAATTAAAGACAATAAATGAACTTGCTATCTTAAATAGTAAACTTCCTTTTATTACATAATTAGTAAGGTTTCGCTTTATTTTTTTTAATATGAAAAACAGACTTAAATATATCATACATCGTAACAGACAGTTTGGTTCCGTCTAATGATTTTTCCAGCTAATTTAATTCTTCTAATTTAAAAGGAAACCTCAAACAAATATGAAACAAAAACATTATAGGTTTTCGTTTTGGCTTTATTTTGGTTTAATATTTCTGAAAGATAAGTCAAAGTGACGTGTCACTTCCATTGTGGCTTTTTTATCTCACAAAATCTGTGTATGAAAAGAAGTAAAGTTATAACAAAAAGAAAGCATTCATTTTTATCAATATAATAAAGGATTGAATTACTGTAGAAGATTGTACAATCAAATTGCACGGAATAACTTAAGTAACTGCACAGGTGAAATCAAATATTCCATTCAACCTGAATTTGTAAACTTGATTCCTGACGGGAAAGAGTACATCTACTAACATACTTATACTAAAACCTCAAACATTGGTGTTTGGTTCTTTGGTTAGGTGCCCGTGGTACCGGTGTCTTATTATAATTGTGAAACAGAGAACCTTTCCCTGAAGCATTTGAAGTTTTGTTTTACGAATTTGAAGTATTTTAGTTATATTGAGCTCATGTAGAACACCCGCTCGTAAACTTGTATAAAACAAAAAAAGCATATCTAAGTGTATAGAAAATAAAACTTTCATAAGACGAGTTATTTGTAGAATGTATTTAATGTCTTTCCAATGTAAACGAATCAAAATTGTATGGCATTAATATAACGAGAAGTAGCATGAAGTAATATATCTACCACTGAAAATTACAAATTCAAAGTTTACAATAAAAGTATAAAAGAAATATTTTGTTTTTATTCAGTCAATCATTGCTAAAAGGTTTAACTCTACTTCAAATACCAACCTTATATTTGTTCGGGAATATTTCATCATGTTAACGTACAAGAATCGTGTGTGTTAAGTAACAGCGATATTCAGTAATACAATTTTTTCAAGAATGGAGAGTAAAATTATGGAAACAATATTACTCTACCGTTGATACATTTTATACAGATGTTTCAGATGACTAAATGAAATAACTTTACAATTATCAGAACTTATGAAGTAACTGGACTGCAAAGTCTCAGATTACGAAACAGACTTGATTGTATACATGTATAATGGAATGATTTACTAGTACTGTTCCTAAATGCATAATGTATGATGATGAAAACACAACAATTATAAAAAAATATAAATATATATAACAAAGAAAAATATCATACTCAGTCGGCACATTTACAATAGACTTATAACTAAAACACATATAAAACTGGACAATGGAGTCTCTTTGTAAACGATATAAAATAATTCTAGTACTACTACTACTAATAATAATAATAATAATAGTCCTGGGTGTAGATGGTGGGGGTAATCCTCTTTGAAGTCATTTTGCAAAAAAAGCCCTATATAACAAGATTTATGTGTAAAATTGTTCATGCTCCTAATAGACTAAATCACACATCCATGATGAAAACTAAACTTTAACGTCCGTTATAAGCCATTTCTGTTTCTGTAAGTCTATGTAAAATCAACACGATAGTATGACCATTAGGGTCCGTGATCTTTTATTGTTAACTTTTCAATTTTATTGTTAACCTTAATTTTCTATTTGATTGTTTACTGTTTTTTATTAATTGTTAACTTTTTCTCTTTAATTGTTTTACTGATTGTCTTTAATTTTTTAGTTTTTGTCAGAGAGACTGTCATTAATAACGGCATATGTGTTATCAAAACATGCCCAATCTTTTTCTGTATATACTGGTAAATCTGCTTCGTAAGGCGGAGGGCTTTGACAATCTATTCTTATGCTATAAGCAGACGCCACTCTGACATGTGGTCCAGGCGTCCGACAGCTGTCATTACCTCTCTGATAGTCGTTTGGATCAAATTCTGGCATTGTTATAACCGTTCGAGATGGTGGAGCGGGCCATCCGCGCCCATTTCTTGTAAACCTTGTTCGACTTGATTCGACTCTTAGATTTTCGGCTGAGCAATCAATCGTTGTGTTTGGTCTGCCAAAAAATTAAGTGAGTGTCTTCCTTTTTCAGTACAACAACAACAAGAAGTTTTCGTTTTCATAAAATTAAGGAGTGTCTTCCTTTTTCAGTACATATTCACGGCTTAAAAATGACGCTCAAATACAAATTTATTGGGGACAGAGGTGGGGTTAATATATTAATAAATATGTTTTATATACCTGTATTTCTTGTACCAAACCAACCCTATCGCAAATAATGCAATAACTAGTGCTGTCACAGAAATTGCGATTGCTATCGTCACCGTATTGTTATTATCATCATCTGAAATATAGCATACTATTTATTTATAATTAGGGGGAAAACAAGGTTATTATTAACGCTTTACTGCCTTCAAATGCAAACAGGAGTTTTTCTTGTTGAAAAGTTTTCGTTATTTTCGTTTTATTTAAATTGTGTTGATTCGGAGCATTTTAGAATCACCGGTTTAAAAATCATGTTTCTTGTTTGTTTTTTCCCATATCAAACTGCCTTTGCGTATTTAAAAAAACCAAATGTATTTTTTTGTAAAACAGATCAGATTAAACAGCACAGTGTGGAACTGAAAACAAATGCAAGATTTTTGGCGGATATAACAACATTCCATTAGTTCTTTGAAACTGCTAGTCGACTATTGTATTATCTTATATATTCTTAACGGAATAAAGTTACACAGAAGTTAATGGCACGCTCAATAGAAATCGAAACAAATTGCGAAGCAAGGATGGTGTAACCGTCTTCAAATTTATAGGACATTCTGGGCAAAAAGCATCCTTTTAAAAATATAAGGTGGCATATGTCCTCAACAGCAAAATAAGGGATCAAATGTTTGATGTGGGCTTATGTCCAAGGACGCAAATGTCTTTATTTCAAACTTATATATTAACTGCATAAATATATCTGGTTTTATTAATGTGATATACATTTGTA